ATAATAATAATAATAATAATAATAATAATAATAATAATAATAATAATGTACTACCTACACTGGGAAGCTGAAAGGCTGTGGAGATTGCGGAAGATGTGAGAAGTGAAACTATGTAGAGATGGACTGACGTGAACACTTAAACTGTGGAGGTACCCAGTGAGTGGCATCTCGCCTCCAATTCCTGACAAACTAACTAGACTGGGAGAGAGGTCAAGATGAAGGAATTGCTCCTCCAACTGGTTAAAAAGGTGATTTTGCCAGAAAGAAGAAGGCAGAGCCTTCAGATACAAAATTATGTCATGTAAAAGAAGCGTACAGATTCTGTACAAAACTGTACAGATGAATAGAAAAATCATCAGAGGTGAAGAGACTGTAGAGGCACCAAAGTGTCCTGTTGACCAAAGAATGGGATGATCCATTGGGGCAGCCATTAGCAATTAGGAACCAAGTGGTCTTGCAGACTGGAGCTAGTGGCAAATAATATGGGTGAAGAAAAAGAAACTTGCATCAGCTTTGCAGTCGTATTGGGGCCCGACCCTTATTTGGGGCATACTTTTGAGGAGACCTGCATAGAATAGGTCTGCCAATGCTTTAGCTGTGAAGATCCAGACTTAGGCACATGAAGCAGTATTTTCTAAATTAGACCTTGAATTCTACAATATCATTACCAGATAAAAATGCTTGCTATAGCAAGAACTAGTATTATTCAACAAAATACATCGGAAAGTCTTACATTAAAATAATTTCTTTTTTATTGAATGAGTTAGTGATGCCTTTTAAAATGTAAGCACAGACAAGGTTTATAGCAGCAGGAGGGCTGACATAAACTGAATAGCATATTTATTTGTTAAATGTCTCCCTGGAAAAGCCTGCTTTAAGTGTTCAAACATGCATCTCCATTTCAAGCTTTGCTGAAATTAAGTGGCTTACACTCTCAGAAGTATCACATGAGTAGTTCAATAGTAATTGGACTATTTTACCGATGCAATAGGTTCATGATAAAATATCTGCTATATTAAATGCATTCTGGAGAGCAAAAAGATAAAGTAGGCATAGTGACTACTGAAAGGAAAATGTTTTGGTAGCCACGTAATAAGGTATGTACTGAATTAGAATGCAAATGGAAGATTTACTCAACGCAAACATCATCATCATGATAATAATAATCATAAAAAGAAAAAAAGAAAATGCCTCCATCTTTTGTTTACTTTTTATTTTAGATTCTGTCTGTATCTCAGGAAGATTCCATTTTCATCTGCAGTTCAATAGCGATATAAAAATAGAACATGATATGAAAAATGACTCTAAGGAATAAAGTCCTATTATATAATTAGTTTACTTTATGAAGATGCTGCACAAGATTCCAAGCACTGTCTGCTAGGGTAAGGAGAGCTGTTAAAGCCCACTATGTCCGGTGGGGTTTAGTCTCAGGTATCTGTGCATAAAACTGCATCCAAAAAAGGCATTGCAAGCTCTGATGTGTGATCTTGCGTGCATAAAATAGTAAGTAGTTTATCAGTTGCTCAATCTGCTTTGGTGAGCTTTTATGTTCCCTGGCAAGCTGGCCACATGCTCCTTGTCAGCAGGTCCTTCTGCTCCTTTCCTCCTCAGTGGGCTTTCCAGGGTGATGGCATTAACACATGCCCATTAAGTAAGTTTATACAACATGACCATGTATATACCGGGCTTCATGTCATCCTTTCATGACCACAGGAGCCACGCATCCATGTATGCACCCCACCACCAGCTTGAATGAATGAATGAATTCCATGATCCTTCACCACCCCTGAATTGGTGGCAGCAGCATTTGAGAAAAGGTCAAGTGCTGCTTTAAAGCAAGATGCGCAATTTGTTTTAAAGCTTAAGCGGGCCTTTTCTGGTGGCCTAAACATTGCCAATTATTTTTCTGCTGCCATTGCTAAAACTAATCAGTGCCTGGTAGTGCCAGGGTGCTTAGGGGTGGAATGGGGTTGAAATTGGCCCCTAAAGTTGGCTGCTGTGCTGTAGGTTATAACAGGGACCCATTATCCCCTCTCTCCTTGATACACACACATGGGCACATGCAACTGCAGTGCACCAGAGAGTGCAAATGGGAAAACAGTGTGCATATAACTGTCTAAATGCACCCCTCCATTTGGTCAAAGATCCTGAGCTTGGAACTCATGCTTGATGGCTGAGCAGAAGGGAAGAAGGCTGGGAAGAAACGTGGGAGGCATGCACAGGTCTCCCGTTCCCATTAATGGCCTGGTGCACTATGTGCCTTGCATGAATGTGCAAGGGGACCGAGGCAGGAGGCTGAGAAAATGACGCTCCATGAAGCTTCTAGGGAGCGCCTTCAAGAGCATGAGTCGCACCCGGGTTCAGGTAGACCTAATGTGTTCTCCTGTGCCTGCAACTCCTAGAACATGCTTTAATACCTGCCACTGTACTAAGAACATGCTCTCTAGAAACCCATTATGTGAACTGTGCAAGGGCACTAGCAAGTTTTTTGTTATGTCTCCTTCCATAGTGATTGCTCTACTTTCTAGGAAACATTTGCTATCTGCTGCTTTATTTCTTGCTTGCTTGGCCTTATCTCTCAGTAAACAAGGTGAAAAAAATTCTTATTTCTAGGTCAGCTTCTTCTCCACATCTGTATCCCATTAACTCTTCCAGTAAACCTTCTCTGAACTTTACCCAGCATCCCCCCCACCCCTGATTCAACTTTCCACTATGGGTCAGTTTCTCTCTTCCCCCTATGAATCTTAACATTTTTCTTTATCCTGGAGAAATATTTTTCTTTCCTACTATTCACAACATGTTCATTTCTGTTTTCTGGGTAACCAATCCCACAATATACAGGATATTGGTTCCACTTAACTTCCTAGTCAGATTTCTACTGTGCTCTCTATATGCACTTGAATCTAGTTCCTGCCACAGCCTTTCACTTTGCTTAGCTAAAACCTCCTCCAGTTCCTAGTGCTTACATAAGTTGCAGTACACATCACAGCTGAAAGATCTACTGTACTGGCTAGAGACACTGGATGGGTTGGCAAACTGATCCTAAGTCTGGTTCAGTGGTTACTCAGCAACTTTGGGGAATATAACGGTTATGAATGGCACTCTCCCCATTCCTAGGATTTACTTCCTGGAGCTTCTATTCTATCGCTAATCAAGGAAAGAAACTTACCAATTCAATTTTTGTATTTGAAAAATGACTTGTATTTTAGTTTTGCAACCTTAACACCAGCAGAAATTCTGGACTTTTGTGGATTTAGGCGAGTGGACCAAGCCATTTTGATTGCATCGTTATCTGGTGCTGAGGGTGTCCCAGGGGCCATGGGGGCAGAGTAGGTGGTCCACCTGCAGACCAGGAGGTCCACCCATAGAGATCTTCTCTGTACAGCAGCAGAAATTTCCACCATGCCAAGGTAAAGCTTCTGGGCCATGCCAGGGACAAATCAGAGGAGACTTTGGATCCATTGAACATGCCTCTGGAATGCTGGCCCCGGAGTTTTTCCACTGTACTACCCTAACAGTCATAATGGCAACAAGAGTGATTTATGCTGGTGTTGGTTGCTATCCCAGTGAAACCACTGGAAAGGAAAATTAACTAAAGCAAAACTGGTGCAAACAAGCAATCCCCAGCACATAGCTTGCTTTGGCAGGCATGCACTTGGCTAAGCTTAGGAACTGGTGGCTCTTCCACCCTGAATTCTTTCTTCTCTGTCCCCATAGGATTGCTCTGCCAGATATAAAGCATGGATTTGTGCTTCTAATTCCTAACTACTGTTAGAAATTTAACCAGAAACTAAAAAAACCCAGGGAACTATATTTATGTGATCCGTATCTATTAACATTGTTTTTTTAAAAAAATGTTCTTTCTCCTCACGTCCAAAACTATGCATGAATAAAACAGAAAAATGGTGAATTATGTTTAAGGTGTTGAATGAAATTGTGACAATCTGCACATTGAGCCTGCCCATGTAAAAAGACTTTAATTCATGTTTAATTCATTCTTCACAATTGTAAAGTCAGGATGGACAGGGGGGCTGTTTAGAACCATACATTAACGAAATTATTTCAATGCATTTCCCCAAATGTCAAATTGATCAAAATATGCTATAGCCACTATGAAACACTTTGTCCACTTTGCTCGGCAAAATCAGTAGCAGTAAATATACCTAACCTTAAGAGTTAGATTTGTCCAGATAAAGAGATGTAATCCAAGTAATGACATATCAAGGTTTCAGATTAATTGGATTTATGAAAGGGAGCAAGATTTAGCTCATCTACAAGCAAAACAGTTGCTATTTCTAAATCAATGGCTAATGTCTAATTCTGACAAAAATGTCAGTTATTTATTTTCTCTGAACCATCCTGGTATCAGGAATAAAAAGGAAGGAAATGGGTTCTCAGCCATGCTATTGCAATTTCTACAATTAACTGACATGGGGAAGGTAAACATTTCAGTAAGCTCAAATCAGAAAGCCAAACATGTTTAACTGTTGGATCCAGGCTCTATCTTAAGTGAGAGAAATGGATCTTCCAAGAGAGGAGGCTCTCTGCTTGGAGAAGTCTTCTCCATCTGATTTGGGGATCCTATTCTCCACTGCATGGTTCACCCCATTATGCAAGGTCTCCCAATACTTGGTGTAGCATTTGCAGGGGCTAGGGAAGAGGGGGCAAGGAAATCCACTTCAAAAAGCACAATCCAGTGTAAATCTGGATCCAACCCTATATAATACTTGCCAATAATTAGCAACATCTATACAAAATACCAAAGAAACTTGTGTAACTCTCTGGCTTAACTACAGCTCTCATTTAAATTGGCTGGTCTTTGGAAACCAATGCAACTACAGTAAGCACGGTAAGCAGTAGGGAAATGATAAGGAAAAAGTAACAGCATTGTAAGGTTTCTGTGTGGAGGTAGGTGCCATCCATCTACAAGAGGTCAGATCCTGTACTGGATTTCTGAAACCTCTTTACCCAATGTTTTTGATAGTGCATTCCTGATCTGGATGAGCTGGTGACTAATTAATGCAATGCCAAACCTGCGGCTTCACCACATGATCAGGCACAATTAAGTCTTCAGGTTTCTCCTGAGGTAACATTTACAAAAGGTCTAATTCCTTCAGCAAGCATCATGAGATAATAGGAAGGGCCATTGCTGCTATACCGATAACACACAACTTGTGCTGAGACAAATTACCTTTTCCAAATTCATCAAAAAGGCCCTCTAGTTTGTTTTGCCTTTTGGTGAAAGTAGCTTTACGTTACATCCTTACTTATTTTGCTTATCCATGGAAATGGTGATAGCAAAGGAAGCAGAACTATAAGCCTGTACTTCCAAAAAGCTATTCATTTTCCTAGGACAAGTTATTGTAAAGTCAAGCTTCTATTAAAGACTGCCTTTTTGTGATTTGTGTGGACTTTCAATCTAGCACATTGTGGATGTCACACCTCTCACAATAATGGCAGTAATCAGATAGTAATAAATTCCAGTAACTTCTGGCATGACCCAGAAGTGACACAAAGAGATAAAGAGAGAAGGATCTATTCCAAATACTGTTGTGAACTGGCTGTCTCTTTGGGCACATTTTCTTGAAATCTTGTGCCATCTCATCAAAGTAATACCAGTCCTATGGGAATTTTATCCTCCTCTGGAATCAAAATTTATACACAGTAAGATCTACTTGTGTAAGTTGTTCTGTTTAAGAAAAGTTGAACAATTACTCGTAAGCTTTCTTTAACATTGTAAATAATCAATAGTAATACGAAACAACAGAGGTGAAACACATTAATAAAGAACAACTAGTTTTCAAGGACACATTATTATTTACAAAGCAAGACATTTTGACAAAAAGCTGGAATAATAATATTCAGACATTTTTACCTAGATTATCTTTATGAAGTTAAGCAGTAGTTCCAGACCCTGATCTTCCACATTTAAAGGGAAAAAAATCTAGAAAATAAGGGAGTTTACGTTTTTACTTATGGAAAATATCATAGCTTTTTAATGCTTGCATCCAAGCAATTCATGTCATTGTTTTGGTGAATTCTTTAAGGGAAAATATAAATATATTAATTATATTCACTATGTATAGATAGATAGATAGATAGATAGATAGATAGATAGATCTCAATATCGATATTGATCCAGAGAGAGAGAGAGAATGAGAGGAGAGAGAGAGCCAGCCTGAGGTGCCTGATTTTGCCAAATCTTAGAAGGGTTGGACCAGCTGGAAATCTGGATGGGTGGCTTGAGTCCTGCATTGGACAAGCAGTTAGACCCGATGGCCTGATGGGCCCCTTCTATCTATCCACCTATCTGAAAGATGAATAGGAATACCATGAAGGGCATTAATGAGAAATTCATTATTTCATTCACGGATGTTGAACTTCATTCAGCACAAGGGCTGCATGTCCTTTCAGAGAACCTTTTGGGGCCTGCACTCCAGTGGTGGGTGCAAACAAAGAAAAATCATTGCGAGAAATACCAAAATTACTAGCATGTTTTAGTTTAAAACTCTCACTGCTAGGTTTGAAAGGCATTTTTATATTTTAGAATGGGGAGAAAAAAACTGCACAAAACCAGCATAAAATAGGAACATGGGTGGAGCTAGAGGAAGGGGGTGTGGTGTCCTAGAAAACTAAGGAGATTTCACCTGATTTCACCTGAATTCAACTGAAAGCTAACATCGATTACAGATAATGTTGAAAAATATTAGTTTTGTTCTAAAAACATTTTTGTACTGATTATACTGAAAATGTTCACTCCAGCATGTCTTGAAAAACACAAAACAAATGAGAAAGAGGAGGAGGAGGAGGAGGGAAAAAACACAAATGCACACACGCAAAAACACACAGAGTTTACTTTCTGTCAAGTACTATTCAGCACCTTCCTTCAGGAAAGAGTTACTTGGTACTTTCTCAAACAGTGTTACACCTCCCTCTCTTTTTAGTTCTTCTGCTCTGGCATTGAGCAGACAACCTTTCCAAGTGCATGTGATCTACTGAATCACATTTCTATTCTCAAAGGTGCCAACAGATTTCACAGACCCTCGTGGAGAGCATAAAGTGCAAATTGTCATCAAGTCACAGGTGGTGCGACTCTACTGTTTCCGTGTCTTGGTTTTGGGCTCGGAAGACTTTGACTGTCCAGCTTTCTCTTTGGAGTCTTTGGCTGGAGTAACAGGGTATTGTGGTATATGGCCATTGTATCCATTAACAAAGACACACTGATAGTAGCGGACAGGAGCTGGAAGGAAAGAAGAAACAGGAATAGTCCATTACTTAGCTGCAGTCACCATTGCATTATTGTAGCAGTCAGCTAAGTCAAACATTGGTCCTTCTCGTTGAAAGGAATAAAGTAAATTGATTTTTTAAAAATTATACATCACTTTCCCATATAAATCTACAATATTATCAGAATTAGCTCTTTTCACCCTAGTCAGGCATGGTGCCAGCATGCAAACATACTCAAACAAACGCTGGGTGAGTCTTCCTGTCCCACAGATGCATCAGTGTATTTCTTGAGCTCTACCTGACAAATTTAATAAAATTGCAACCTGGAAATGACATGAACTTTAAGATCAAGTCTGAAATTAAATGCTACACATTATTATTTTTTTATTAAGGAAAATAACATGTAGTAAGAAAAGATGCCAGTCCCGAACTGATATTTCTCTTTCATAGTTGTGCTTATTTCAGAGTATCCCTCTAAAAGAGAACTGCAGTTAATATAAGTCTCCTTTGTATACATAAAAATAAAATGAAAGCAACACGGAAGAGTCAAAATATGGAACATGGAATCAAAATATGGCTCAGAATCACCTGTCCTTTTGCAGTAGTAAATGTTTGCTTCTGGGTAAAGCCCCAAATGCTATGAACTTCATATGAGATCAAAAATTTATCTATAGACTACAGATAGAGCAAAAACTGTGGCCCTGAGGATGTTTTGGCCTACAACTCCCTTGACCCCTTAACATGGACTGTCTTGGCTAGGTCAGATGAAAGTGAGAGGCCAAAGCAAATTGTCTGTCACTGGACAAGAGTCTATGACCTTCTAAAAGCTTCACCATCCAGGGTCCAATTTACTTGAGCAAATATCTTCTCCCCTGTGGGCCTTTTGAATCATTGGCCCAGTCCTGATATGTGCTCTGTTTCCCCCATTTCACAAGTATTATCTGCAATAGTAAGGAACAGCACATTTTCAGTTGTTCTGTGGGCAAACTAATATCAGATGGCCTTGGGATGATATTAGAAGGAAACTTGTTTACTCTGGTACGTGGGTGGGTGGGAAGCAATTGATTTATGCTATTTAATATATGGATTTTCTGCTTTTTTTAAAAAATAATCTTCCCTTGAGAATATTTGGATAGTTATTTATATTCACCAGTGCTGAATCAAGGTTTACTCTGCTGAGCTTTGAAAATGGCGGAAGGGCCAAGGAATCAGTGTTTATTGCTGCTATGGTTCAGGGACTTACAGATCTTCATTCCCCAGTGTAAATACTGATAGCAGAACTGGGCTTGAAAATGAGTTGTTTTGTTTTTTAAAGGAAAAATCATTGCCAGGCACAACATAAAATCAATTTCCTCTCTGCGTGTGTTTCTCTCTATCCCACACAGGGAGTTAATTATGAACGATGCAGATGCAAAGTGTCCAAGGCTAGTACTAATGATATTGTGCTCGAGTAGACCAAGGCCTTTTCCAGTGCTAAGGCAACAAGCAGTTCTGGGAGTGCTGCTTGACACTGCAGTTCACTGGCACACGGTTGCTTTCCCTCTTTGCCTCGCAAGTGGTAATGATGTTGTGCTACCTGTGCTAATGCTGTGACAACACTGGATGCTGCCCTATATTGGCCACTTCTCCTAACATGAAAATGTGGGGCTGGGAAGGGTAACAACCATATCTGAGCACAAACTATATTGTCCAAGTGCACCAAGGCTTCACGCAACCAGGTCAAGGCTTACTTTCCTGTGGGACTCTTTTTTCCTTGCCTACATATTTAATGGTGGCCTTCATACTTGACACCTCAAAGTAGTTTTCAGCTGCCTACCAAGCACTGTTAAAAAGCAACCACTAAACCATGAATCTTGACCTGAATATAGAAGCTTGTATTTTGCTAATTACAAGCATCTCGATGCAATTCCATCATGGGCAAAACATATAATGAGTTATGCTTGTGTGTCAAGAGCAGGTTGCCAAGCAGACATTGCTCATTAAAATGAAGTAGCTTGGCAGAAATGGCAATGCAGATGGGGCTTTATTAGGACACAATACAACACCCCCCACCCCCATCACTATTCTCTTCTAAAATAGCTGATCAGTTGAAGACTGGATCAAAACTAATATTTTGATTAGGTCTGTTTTCTAATGAATCAAACAACTTATAATGAAAGAACTCACTGAACCTCTCTGAAAAGTTATTCCTGGCTTATGGGTAGCCTGGCTGGGCAGGATGGACGTGTTCACCAGCGACATCTCTATCCTGAGCTCTTGGGATGGTGTAAGAACGACCAGCAACAGAGGACAGAACAAAATGGTACTGAGCCATTGGATAGCTGGAAGATAGTGGAAGTGCAGCCACCATCATAGGAAACTGAAGGGTGAAAGTAAGCAAACCCAGAGCTGTTAGCCAAGAAGTGAAATAATGAAATATGTGGGGGAAATATAGGGCAGAAGTCCAAAAAAATAGTAAGATAGCTACTGTACTGATGCTGATAAATTCCAGCTTTTTAACTTTCACATCCATGCTGGATAGTGAAAAATGCTGTAGCCTTGGCCTTTGGTAGTGCTGGCATACAGAATCAATGATGCCATGGTAGCAGAAGACACACAGAGCTTCCCTTTTATTAATACTGCTGGGGTGTCCTTGCAGTTTCCTTTCCTCTAGATATGCTTTTCTTTATTTGTTTGTTCCTTAGGACTTCCACATACAGGTCAGTGGTCACCCTTTATTCCAGGAGATATTTCCTCCAGAGCAGGCTGGGTAGGGGGGAGAGGGTTATCTACTCAGCTGTCAAAAGCTGTTCCATCAGTGGATGAACACAATTGGATTTCATCCATTATATTTCAGGGTTTCCTCCTGTACAGAGCAAGAGGTTATGTTCTGAATCTCAAGTGGAATACCAATTGCACTCCAAATAGGCTGGAATCCTAACTGGAAGTACAGCAAAACTTGCCTCATTGAAAGGGATGTTAAGAAAGTAACCTTGACTGGTTGTCACTCTCTAATACTTACTGCTCACCAATCCAACAGGATTTCCCCCCCTTTGAAGAATGAAACAGTCGGCTTCCTTCAAGAAAGTGCCAGATTCTAAGATGCTGGGGGAAGGGAGTCCATATACCCAAATGAAAGGTAAACAGGCTGATTCATCCACCTAAATGGCATTCTGTAGGAATGTTAATGTAATATCTTTGCTAAGAAAAGTGACCCATTTTGAAGAAGCGGCTTGATCGTGTTTTCTTTCCAGAATGTGCAATGAAAGAAACACATCCCTAATAGAAAGTGATGGCTTGTAATTGAAGTAGAGTATCATATGACATTGTGCTGGCAGGGATTTTGCTAAGGTTTGGCTCTTGGATGCTTGGCTAATGTTGCTGAAGCAGCTCCCACAACTGCAGTTAATCAAAGTATGGTTATATAAGGCCCACTCTGTTTTCTGGATGAAAGGCAGACAGCAGTAGGCACTTCTGCAGGGGGTATGCAGGAGAGCGCCTCCTTACCTTTTTGCTGTTTACGTAGGATAATGTTCAATGAATATGCAAATGGCTCACCACATAAAGTGGCTGGCACACTGCAGCTTGAGTGTGTGAATCAGGCTTTGAAAGATGCAGCCTAGGTGATTAATTCCCCAGAAGGAAAGGTTGGAGCACTGAATGTTGTGTTTCCTTTTGCTGTTTGGCAGACGAATTCACAATTTTTCCAATGAACATTTCTCCTCTAGCAGCCACAGTCTAGGCGGCAGAGTCTATTTGCAGGACAATGAAATATACAAAGGATAAAACCCTCCATAGGACTCCAGACTCGGGAAACATCCCTCGGAAGGCACAGAGAAGGCAGCTGCTGCTGCCGCCCCACCTCACACCCTGCGTTTTATCTAGATAGCCATGTTCAGCCATCCAGAGAGGGGGGAAGCAGGCTGGGGTGCTGATTAGAACTGTACATCGGCAACCTTGCACACCCTTTTGTCCAAGGGAGCCAAGGTTCCATCTGGATGCCAGGAAGCATTTCCTGACAGTTAGGACCCCGAGGGTGTGGAATGGGCTTCCACAAGAGGTCACTGAGGCCCCATCAGTGCGGGTGTTTGAGGATAGGCTGGACGTCCACATGGTGGGCATGTCGTGAGCAGAGCCAGCTGGTGCTGGAGGTCAGACTAGGTGGCCCAGGAGGTCCCTTCTGACTCACTCTGTTTCTATGTTTCTATGTCCCACTTTGAGGACTAGTCACATCTTGGGGATGAGGGCAGGCAGCCAGTGTAGGCCTTTCTGTACAAGCTGCAAGAGGAGGGGCAGAAGTTTGGCCTTTGGAGTCTGGGTCCCAAGGTTCAAAGGCCTCAATGGTCAGACTCCAAAAAAATAAAAAAAAATCCTATGGACTTCCAGACTGCACCCTAAAAATGTGAACACATAATTATACTGCTGCCAATGCTGTCCTCCAAATTGGTGGACTTTTGTGTAGGATCTATCACTGTGTCTCCTTCATAGACATGTTCTTAGAAAGCCATAGGAAATAGTTCCCAGGCTGCTGTGGTAAAATATGAATAGCTCCACATGTGTATGAAAACCTTCTCCCTGCTTTACTAATGCATAGATTTCTGTCTTTCTTTTCTCAGTGTTTTTCCACAATTCAAAACATGCCAACAGCTACCTTTTATGATAAGGAACAACTATCTGAGCTGTGATAAAGTTTGAAAGAGTCCTACAGGAAACAAGATTTAGACTCTACATAAGATTTAGACTCTACATAAAGTTATCCTCAGATAATTGCACTAAACTAAGCTCTGCTATTTTTGGGGATCTGAGCCTACAGGGAACTTTCCATAATAATTAATCCCTACACTAATTTAGAATTAGAAATCTTATTACTAGTCTTGCAGTGTGTATGCATGTTTTTCAAGAGTATTTAAAATTTCACTTGGTGTATGCTGCTATACAGCTAGCATGACTTTCTTGAGTGCTTCTGTGCATGTGAGTAATAGCCTTTCCTCAACCACAGATGTTTTGGATTCACCTCCCGTAAGCTCCAGCCGACATGGACAATGCTCATGAATTCTGGGAGTGCAGTCCAAACACGTGGAAGATACCAGACTGGGGAAGGCTGATGTATGTGTGTGGAATTCATAGCTATAGGTCCCACCTGCTCTGATTTTTACATTTTTATTTATAATAATGATTACCGGCACTTACTTTTTCTGCTATTAGGTGTTAAATAGAGAAAAATAATAAAGCGATCACCAGGATTATTTGTTACTACAAGATCTATATGCAACCCTGTGCCCCCAATTAGACTTGAAGCTAAGTAGCGGACTGCCCTCAGAAATAATTAGCTAAAAAGAAATGTATAAATAAATGGATGAAATTCTCATCTACTTAGAGCAATTAAAATTTCAACACTGGCATGTACTGCATGTTGATTGTGCCATTTAACTGTTATCCTTCATCGCTCTTCTTTTGTGGCTTGGGGTAGGAATCCAGTGGGGGGGGGTTACACCCCTGCCAATTCTCCCTCCCACCTCCTCCACACACAACCAATTCTCTCTTGCGAGTGGTGGGTTCAGCTCATTGCCCTGCACAAGTGGAAGCCACAACCAATGCAAGGGAGATTTCACTCTTCCTAGGGAAGTAATCAAAAAGAGCTCTTCTTGGAAGAAGACAGGCTGGTCGAGCTCCGTAACACAATGGGTCAAGTTGGATTCCAAGGATACCTGTGCCTTGAACAAGTCATTGCTACCAAAGTGACTCAAACCTTGGATCCCAACCCAGCAGTGTAAACCAATTACAGGAAAAGACACTGTCTAATAACAAAGATTTGGAAAATAAAGATTTGTAATCTTCTTTGCAAATATTGTCATATTCAATTACCTTCTTTTCGACAGTTGAATAAAGTTGTTTTTGCTGGCCTACATTTTCAGTAATCCCCCCATCTGGATAGCAAAATGTAAGACTGTTATTCCAAATACCTGAAGTCTTATTGGAAATCTCTACTGAATATGAACAGCTGTGCTACTGAAACAGACCCACACAAAAACCACAGTGGCTAGAACTGTCCAGTATTTTTTTGTGCTTGTTTAAAAACAAAACAAAATTGTTCAAATCCTTTCTTGGTTCTAGTTTAACTTTTTCCCCTCATAGCAGAACAGCATCAGAATTAGCTCATTTGAGTGCCGATCTTAAAAATATGGAATATTTTCCCATAGGCTGCTTTTCAAGGGCAAATGATTCATTCTTTTTTTTAGTCTGACAGAATGAATAATAGTATTTTTATAGCCAAGCTACATTTTGTACAATGCTGACAAGCATGATATGTCACCTGAGAATCAAAGCAGTTTGCTATATCTTTAACCCTAAGCAGAACTTACCTGCTGTTTTGGCAGCCTTTGAACTCTTATCTGAAATGAAACAAAGCCAAATGTTAGAGAGACAACTTGAAAGGAAACTGAATAACTTGCTAATATCTATTTTTCTTATTAATTCATGTTTTGATTAAGTTGATTTAGTTGAATTCGTGAAGTTGTCAAGCAGTGAGGGATCAATGAACAACTATGCCCTTTGATAATAGAACTGGAGAATGTCTCTTATCACATTATCCATTAGATATTTTGTTATCTACCTGTGTGGGTGCAAAGACTAAACATGTTTGAAAATGACCTAGAGACAGCTATTCTCATAACAAAGACTGGCTTTCCTTCATATATAATTATTTATCTTTCCCTGGGGTGTGGCTGACCTTATTACAATAAAGAGCAAATGAGAAGTTCCAGTTACATTCCCTGCAATAATGCAGCAAATGTTATTTCTTTCAATTTCATTCAGTTTGATATTGGAATAAAATTTTAAAGGGCATACAACCCTTAAATATGATTTAAGCATCAAGATTTAAATTACAGTATCAGACATTTCTCTACCTGGCTGCCAGATGTTTTCTATGCTAACCCTCAGCATTCCTGACCCTTGGCCCTGCTGGCTGGAACTGAAGTAGGTTGAGATCAAAACATCTGGAGGAGGATACCTGGTTGGGGAAGGCTGGTCTACTTAATGCTTATGTTGTGCTCAATTTCAAAACACTATGATGGCCAGAAGAAGGACACGTAAGATTGGGCAGCCCAGTGGTTCCTGACACCAAAATATGGTGGACCTGGTGACTTTATGCAAGAGATAGCATCAACAGTGTGCTTTCATATGAGAAACCATGACACATAAAATAAATTTGGGCAAATTTTCCATATTAATTTGTTTTAGTAACATTCAGCAGGATATAAGGACATTGTTTATGACCAGCATGAAGACATACTGAATCTGCTTTGGTCGCCCTGTACGATGACCTGTGCAGGGAGAAGGACAGGGGGAGTACGTCCCTGTTGGTTCTTCTGGACCTCTCAGCGGCTTTCGATACCATCGACCATGGTATCCTCCTGGATAGGCTAGCGGGATTGGGGGTCGGAGGCACTGCTTTGCAGTGGTTCTGCTCCTATCTCAACGGCCGATACCAGAAGGTGGTGCTGGGGGACTATGGCTCTGCGCCATGGAGTACCACAGGGCTCCATTTTGTCCCCTTTGCTGTTTAACATCTACATGAAACTGCTGGGAGAGGTCATCAGGAGGTGTGGGCTGCGGAATCATTGGTACGCTGATGATACCCAGCTCTACCTCTCGTTTTCCACCAATCCAGGTGAGGCAGTGGCTGTGCTGAACCGGTGCTTGGCCGAGGTAATGGGCTGGATGAGAGCCAATAAACTGAAGCTCAATCCAGACAAGACGGAGGTCCTGTTGGTTGGCAGATCGGGCTTCGGAGAGGGTGGATTTGACCTGGTCCTGAATGGGGTTGCACTCCCTCTTAGGGACAAGGTTCGCAGCTTAGGCGTACTCCTCGACCCGGAGCTTTCATTGGAAGCTCAGGTGACAGCGGTGGCGAGGAGCGCTTTCCTTCAGCTTCAGCTGATTAATCAGCTGCACCCCTACCTGGAGTACGACTGCCTGGCGATGGTGACACACGCGCTGGTGACTTCTCGCCTTGACTTCTGTAATGCGCTTTACGTGGGGCTTCCCTTGAAGACGGTCCGGATACTTCAATTGGTTCAAAATAGAGCTGCCAGGTTGCTGACGGGGACGGGGCGTTATGTTCACGTGACTCCAGTCCTCCGTCAGCTTCACTGGCTTCCCATTGAAGTCCGGGCCCAATTCAAGGTGTTAGTTATGACCTGTAAAGCCCTAAACGGCTTGGGTCCTGGTTACCTGAAGGAGCGCTTACATCCATATATGCCCGACCGCCCCTTGAGATCTGTGGGAGAGGCCCTTCTCCGGGAACCCTCCATGAAAGAAATTAGGAGGGTAGGTACTCGGAGGAGGGCTTTCTCTGCAGTGGCGCCCAATCTATGGAATGCGCTCCCCAGAGAGGTCCGCCTGGCGCCGCCGTCACTTGTTTTTCGGCACCAGGTGAAGACCTTTTTATTTAAACATCACTTTAATTCATAACAATATTTGCTTATTTATCTGGCCAGGGCGACTTCTTTTATATTTTTATTTATTTTATATTGTTAATTTTAATTTTATATTGTTATTTTTGTATTTTATTGTATTTTATTGTGTTTGTAAGCCGCCCCGAGGCTTCGGCAAGGGGCGGCATAGAAATGTTCTAATAATAATAATAAAAAAACACTTCATTTGATACACTTGATAAATGATACAGGATGAGTCAGGGTAATTAATAAAAATAAAGACCAGTAGTAACTCATTCAGGTAACCACTTAGACAACTGGTCCTCTGTATAGAGTGAAGTAGAGCTGAATAGAGATACGGTACAGTGGGAATCTACAGGACTGTAAAAATGACTAGCATATCAAACAGTTCCTTACAAACTGAAAAGTTACAGCTTGGGAAATTGTTTTGTATCATTGCCCTGGACTTAAAGGAAAATTAGTTATACCTAAGCTTACCACTGAGTTCCTTAGTCATGTCTAATATGACTATGGGCACAATCCTGTGCATGTTTAGATAGAAAAGAGTCTTACATATCCTATTATTCCCCAGTCAGCAAGACTGGTTCAAGAATACTGGGAACTGTAGGCCCATTTATTTATGCATAGGATCACATCCTAAATCCCACAGTGAAGAAAAAAAATAGATCTTATTAATTTAGATGAAATCTGATTTTCTCTAAATATTAAGGGCATAGCCACAGTTCAAGAACTGCAGTGCATGGGCTTAGGTTAGCATGCTCACCCTATCCACTCCTACAGATCAGGGCAGTATGCATGTAGTCTTCAGAGACTGGGTGGTTTGGGAAACCAAGGGCAGCTATCACCTGTTCATTACCTGTTGTCACATTGCGATACTGGTGAGTTTCCTTCACTGCTGGGACTATTAAGGAAAACAGGAAGATCTAATTAACATTGGTTCCAAAATCCAATTTATCATAAAAACACACTCATGCACACCAATAGATTGCTCCCTTAATCCATTAAACCTCATGCAAGTTAAAACTAAGGCACAGTAGTATAAATAGTATTAGTACTAGAAATAATAGTTATTATTATAATTATTGCTAACTCTTGGCCAAAGCTTTGAGTATAACACACCCTAGCTGTTCTTTAAAAATCATAAAAGTTTTGTATTGATCTTTTATGACTGCAAGATACTGTTTATGTCAGCCATAATGAAGTATGAATTGCCATGTCCTTCCCCCATGCCCTTCTAGTGACGAATCTGTGTTTTTATTCTTCCAATGCACAGGGTCAATTCTACACCTGACTTTTTCAAAATTACCCTTAAGGTAGAATTAGTGAGTATTGCTCAATATGCAACCTGCAAGTAAGAATTATGGAGTGGAAACTGCTTTGCAGTGGTTCCGCTCCTATCTCAACGGTCGATTCCAGAAGGTAGTGCTGGGGGACCATGTCTCTACGTCATGGCAGCTATGCCATGGAGTACCACAGGGCTCCATTCTATCCCCTCTGCTATTTAACATCTATATGAAACCACTGGGAGAGGTCATCAGGAGGTGTGGGCTGCGGAATCATCAATACGCTGATGATACCTAGCTCTACCTCTCGTTCTCCACTAATCCAGGTGAGGCAGTGGCTGTGCTGAACCGGTGCTTGGCCGAGGTAAGGGAATGGATGAGGGCCAATAAACTGAAACTCCACCCAGACAAGACGGAGGTCCTGTTGGTTGGAGGATCGGGTTTCGGAGAGGGTGGATTTGACCTGGTCATGAATGGTGCAACACTCCCTCTTAGGGATAAGGTCCGCAGCTTAGGAGTACTCCTCGACCCGGAGCTTTCTTTGGAAGCTCAGGTGACAGCGGTAGCGAAGAACGCCTTCCTTCAGCTTCGGCTGATTAATCAGCTGCGCCCCTACCTGGAGTACGACTGCCTGGCGACAGTGACACACGCCCTGGTGACTTCCCGCCTAGACTTCTGTAACGCGCTTTACGTGGGGCTTCCCCTGAAGACAGTCCGAACACTTCAATTGGTGCAAAATAGAGCTGCCAGGTTGCTGACGGGGATGCGGCGTTATGCTCACATGACTCCAGTCCTCCGTCAGCTTCACTGGCTTCCCATTGAAGCCCGGGCCCAATTCAAGGTGTTGATTATGACCTACAAAGCCCTAAATGGCTTGGGTCCTGGTTACCTGAACGAGCGCTTACGTCCGTATATGCCCGACCGCCCTTTGAGATCTGCGGGAGAGTCCCTTCTCCGGGAACCCTCCATGAAAGAAATTAGGAGAGTAAGTACCCGGAGGAGGGCTTTCTCTGCGGTGGCGCCCAACCTATGGAATTCACTCCCCAAAGAGGTCCGCCTGGCACCGTCGTTACTGGTTTTTCGGCGCCAGGTAAAGACCTTTTTATTTAAACATCATTTCAATTGTTAAAACATATGATCTGGCCAGGGCAACTTCTTCTTCCTTCTCTTTCTCCTCTTATATTTTTATTTTATACTGATAATTTTAATTTTATTTTTGTAAATCAATGTATTCTTTGTATTTTTATATTTAATGGTAATTTATTATGTACTATTGTATTTCAATGTAATTTATCATGTTGTAAGCCGCCCCGAGGTTTCGGCAAGGGGCGGCATAGAAATGCTATAATAATAATAATAATAATAATAATAATAATAATAACAACAACAACAACAACAACAACAAAGAATAAATAAATGGGTCAATTAGACCTCACCCATATTTCTTGTGGGTGTTGTGTACTAGATTATAAGATATTGATCCAGGTGATAACTTTGCAACTATACCATTCTATTGAAAAAAAGGAAAATTCTCAGTGATGGTGTAACTTACCCATTTTATTTCTATGGCTTTCTTGATGAACTTGCAACCCAAAACCAAATAGACACTGTGTTTTCTTGCTTTTATCAACAAAGGGTTAAACCTTTCTCTAAGGAATTTTTAATTGTTTTATTGTTTAATTTTTTTTTTACAATTTTGTAAACTGTTATGAGATTTTTAATGAATGATGGTACAGAAAAACTTTAAATAAATAAATCAGGGAACACCCAAGTGCACTGTTAAAAGCACTTTATGTTCCACAAAAATCAGTGGAATTCAGCATCTAACAGAAAGCTGAACTGAATTCAGAACATAAATAGTGATACTCATCCGTGTTTCTGGTTGCATATAAGAGGTTCTACTCTGATATCTAAGAAACCAACCATGTCTATGGATAGAAGGTTATCAGAACTTACCATATATATATTTTTTTCAACTAGATCTGAGACCAGTTCTCATGAATGTTCATCTTCCTATCAGAATTTCTTTTAACCAGAGGGAAATTTTTGTCCAATCAATATGCAAATTATACATATAGATCCTGTATGCAATTTTCATTTCAATGGTCAGAGGGAACAGCATAACATTACTGTGTAGGAAAATGGGGAGAGATCTTATAGGCTGATTGCTTTTTAAGGCTTCAGAGAGTTTAGGGGTTACAGCTCAGGGAAACCCCAGAGCCTTGAAAGGTGTGCATTCTCTGAGCTATTCCAGAAGAACCAATATTCAAAAAAGCAGGAATTAATTATGAATGCTTAATCCTTCAAAGGACATATCTAGACAGCTCTATACCAGTATTCTTAATATGGAGAAATGTAATTTTAATTCCAGTATGTGGGTTGATAGGATGGAAAAGGTGTTTTCCAGTCCCTTTGAGCTGCATGTTTCTGTGATCAACTGCTAAAACAGAGGATCTTTCAGGCATTATTATTTTAGAGCAAGAAGACTTTCAGTTGGCTGTTGAGATCCAAAATAGGGTTATCATCACCTGTGGCCATTACAAAAAATCAACTAAGGACACATTTCTAAGCCCACATGGGAGTAAGTGCCATTGAGCTCATGCCTGAGTGAGTGCATGGTAAAGGATGCATCCAATGGTACACACCCCTTTGAAACTTGTAAGGAACTGCCACTGAATGTCATGGACCAGTTTCTGTTATAGTTTAAAAAGTCAGGTGTAAATCTGGAAAGCTCCCAGGAAATTACCCAAGGTAGGGACTGAGCTCACTGTGTTTCTCCTGAATTCTTCCTTGAAGTTCACTCAAATTGCTAAATGTCAACAACTTTTTTTTTTTTCCTATCAGGAATATTCTGACATTGTGCTCTTGCTCCTGTTTCCATTTAGGTTGCAAACAGGCAATACTTGGACAATTTGTGATCAGGAACAATATTCTGATACATCCCTACTCCAAGGTTCCTTCCATTTTATAATCCTTCAGTGCTGCAATTATATTACTTTTGCATAAAAGTTGTTGATATAGTGCTATACTGTCGATCAGTATCTGTCCCTACTTCCAAGTTTGTTCTGTAATATAAATTTACAAGTAAGTATGAGTATATATGTGTTCAGCAAAGGACCTTTCCAGTGTTAATTAAAAGTTTTCTTTTGCAGGTCCTGCTTCCTGTTGATCTGTGAAGATGAATTAATGATGAAGAACTACACCATCATTTATTGTATTCGGCCTGGAGCAGCTTTAAGTATATCACAAGAAAGACTTCCCAATGCCAGTTTAGTCTGAATTCAATGTGTTGTAATGGCATGGATACAGCTCTCTGAGCATGGATTGACCTAACTGAAAACCCAGTAGATCCTAATTATTACTTTTATATGTTACTCTTTTCCCTACAGGAAGAGCAAAAAGCATGCACACCTTCAGGTACATCTAGCACAATAATTTATTTCCTCTGAGAATGGAGGTTGGGAACCAATCAGCATTAATAGCTGCCCTGTTTGGGTGCATTCAGTACAGTAAACATATTACATAATATTTGGATGTTGTACCCCAGGGAAAGAGTGGTCCTTTAGGTGATGTTGGACTGGAACTCCCATAATCCCTAGCCAGCATTGCCTGTGATCAAGGATGATGGGAGATAAAAAGCATCAGTCTCTGGCTGGACACACATTTCCCTTTCCTGTTGTACACATTTGGCTTTACAAGGGGATTTTCTCCACACAGTTAAAAATATATGAAACGTTCCTGATTATTTTTTTTATTCTAATTAAAATAGAATCATGTGGTGAAGGCCAAATAATTCCTCTGTACAGATGGCATAGAAATTGATGTGCTTTAGCTATCTCATGCATGGCAAGTTACGAAGGAGTTTGATTTAATTGCTTTACTGAAAAGCTAAGCAAATCTGATTATTTCAGTTTATTCCAGATGTTTGCTGTTCTCTATAAAATATGAATCCTTGATTTATAGGTTGCAAAGTTTTATATACTTCCTTGTATTACCTTTAGTCTTTTCTTTTTTCAGATCTGCCTTTTCCACTGTTTTTCCTGTATAGATAAAGAAGAGGAAAATAAGGAAAAATGGGAATGTAGTATCCAAAGGTGCCTTTCCAGGCAGTGAAACAGATTTCCTTTCCTCTTGTACTCCCCATATGCTCCAAAACTGCCCTGGAGGACTGGAGGACCCTTCAGAGCAAATCTGAGGGGCTTTGGGGGAGGGGAGGGGAAGGAAGGGGAGGGAAGCTCCATTCTGTGAGCAGAAGTCAGCTTATGTAATGTTGGATGTATCCCAATATAAGAAGCTGAAAGTCAGGTTACATAATGCCACACTTGGAAGATCTGGGGGTAGAGATAGCAAATTTACAATACAGTAACCTAATGCATGGTTCTTAAAGAAAAGATACCCAGTCCTTACCATCCTTTTCCTTCAAAGGCCTTCCTGCTTTTTTCTTGTCTGGAAAGATTTCCAAGGCATCAGGATTAAACTCGAGAAGCCTTAAATATTTGCAGGTTCAGTTTCAAAGACACAAGGAGAAAACACACGCCCTATTTCACTTTCTCTGCTGCAGAAAAGGCAAATTTGGCCAGAAGCACAAGTCCTTTATTTCCACACTTATATGTCATGATATGGACTTCTATTGAGCCATAGTTAAAACATTTCCATATGCATGTTACGTCTTTTCCAACAAGAACAGTTGATGAGCTGTGACCCCACACAAGGAGACTGACTGAAATTAAGTAAGGTGCAGGGCTCGAAGTGTTTGTGCCACTCCAATATTCCCTGCTGGGAACAGCAACAACTCTCTGGCAGTCTGCTCTGAACTGCTCATTTCTTTCTCTCCCCACCCATATGATCCACCTCACTTTAATAGGACTTCTTTCAATGGCTTTCAGCACACAAACTATGTACTCAGTAGTGTGCAGGCCAACACTAATAATCCAGAACCAAGATCACCTTCCCAGGTACCAGCAACAACTCAGTCCTATGCATATTGACTCAGGAGCAAATCCCTCTGATTTCAGTGGGACTCTTTCATATAAGCAAATTAGAACTGCTGCAGCCCTGAAAACAAAATAAGTGGTGGAAATAGAATCCTTGACATGTCAAGCCAAATCCCTCGGTGGAACAGATCTAATCAGTTTGCACAGAGCTCAGTGGATTTCCCAGTGTATGTGAACTGAAAATCTGGGTATGTTGGTCAGGACCCATCAGTTTGCATAGTAATTATTCTTGTTGCTAAAATTTTAGGAAATAATATTTACCTGCTGCTGTGATATCAGCGGTTGGTTCTGCAGGGAAGGAGTACAGAAATTGAAAAAGGAGGAGAAAGAAAATAGGCAGTACATCTTAATAATGGCATACCTTGACAGGTTTGTAAGATTTTTTAGTGTTTCAGGGTATTACAACCCAACACACAGTATGATTTGGCAAATGTGTTCTTGTGCCAGTCAAACCCTTCCAAATAAGCAGTAACTGAAACTTTATGGAAATTCATAAAGCACGGAACTTTCTGACCAGGAGATACTATCTTATCATTTTGCTTCAAGCTTTAAAACTTACTATCCATTAATTTTGTCTCTTGGCAAAAAATGGAAGGTAATTGCTAAATTATTGGAAGCAAACATGGATGGTAATAATCACTCAATTATTGAGAGCCACTGTACAAATGAGTTTTGCTGGGAGGAGGTAAGAAGATGGCACTTAAAGTTGGAAGAAAGCATGTTTAGCTGTGGAGAGATACAATCAGGAAGGAGTTTTGATAGCATGTTTGAGGAATTAATTGATTAAGCCTGGGAAATGGACATTCCTGCCCCCTCTGTGGGTTATCTCCTGACTCTTTGCCACCTGTTCCAGTGCTGTAAATATTAGTTACAGCAGCATTTGGGTGGCAGTTCCAGGTAAAATATACGGGTTTTGTAGCAAGCATAAACAATAAGGACCAAGGGCCGAACCAAATGGTCTTCCAAATAGTGGAGGTACACAGGATTGGTTTATTTAGTGTAAGCATGCAGTGCTCCAGTTCTGTTCAGTCCCATAGCCCACTGGGAAGAAGGAGGCACTGGTGCTTCTTCCCCGCTTCTGTTTTCATTCTGAACTTTCACCTCTCTCCCAGTGGTTGACTGGAACCTTGAAATGAAAATGGGTGGAACTGAAATCTTCTCCTCCCCCCTCCCCCCAGAACACCATAGTCCCAAACCAGTTCAGGGCTCTGCACAATTATGCATTCTCTAAGCATGCATAGCTCCACTAGATGTGATTTGAAGATTTAGTTTGGCTACACACAGGCCTTTCTTGTGTGCTTACATTATTTTCTAAAGCAGCATTTATGCAGCTGATACTGCATTTAGGAAGGAGCCGAAGCTCAGTGGCAGAGCACATGCCTTGCATGCCAAAGAACTGATTAAATTAAAAAGAGTTTCAAGTAGTAGGACTGGCAACCACATGCCAGTCAAGCTCCTGGAGAGCAGTACTGAGCAGGGTGGATTATTGCCTTGACTCTGTGGAAGGCAGCCTCATGATAACGGTCATGCCATTAATTTTTTGCCTTCCTCATGGAGGCTATCAAAATATACCCACAGGCTTGTGTTTCATGCATACTGGTGGAAGTCCCATGCCAGACCTATATGCAGTTTCCTAATCATAAACAGGAGTCAGTATAGTGCAGTGGTAAAGAGTGTGGGTCTGGGACTCAGGTGATCAGGGTTTTATCCCCTGCTCGGCCATGGAGCCAACTGGGTGACTTTGGGCCAGTCACAGACTCTCAGCCCAACCCACCTCACAGGATTGTTGCTGCGAGGATAAGGTTGAGAGGAAGAAGAGAATTGTGTAAACCACCTTGAGTTTCTTGAAAGGAAAACAGACAAGATGTAAAATGAATAAATAAATAAATTATAGGGTTTCGCCATGGACGCAATAGAGGTATTTTTGATCTAATAGAGGCATGTCTGTACTGCTGCCAGAGAGGAACCCTTTGTGTGCCAACCAGCTGCCCCTGCTGATAACCATGATGCCCCACATGTGGAGTGTCATCATGAAGAAGCCGTTGTCCATTGCATCTAGGTGAGGGTCACCCACATATGAAGCGGCATGATAGGAGGAGAGTAGCAGTATATTTTGCCAGCATTTTACAATTCCCAGTTTGCAGGAGACTGGAGCGTATTTTGGGGAACAAGTGGCAAGGGGTTCAAACAACACAAAAGTGGCAAATCAGCATTCTGCAAGGGTAGGTACTGCCCACACAACAGAATCAATGGGTTTGACCATCTGTGAAGGGAAAGCAGCGGTGGGCCTTGTGAGCAGTCAGGCAGTGCTGGCTAGTGCCTGTATTGTCCATTCAATGGGAAGCCTTCGTCATGCATCATGTTGTGTTCCATTGGGAAAAGCTCAGTACAGCATTACCCTGTTAAAACTTTCCATCCAAAATATTTTGGTAGACAGTAACATGATCTCTAAGATAACAGGATAATTACTGTTTCAAAAGTGGTGGTGGGGAAAATCCTATTTTAGGCATCGGATAATGACCAAGCTCCCTTTAAAACAATCAGAAAGCACTACCAATTATGTGATAAAGGTTCAGATGTTGCAAGATGATCAGCTCCTGCCACCAGCAATTAATTAAAGATAAATGGAAATAGGATGACTTACTAATTACTTTAAAAATACCAATTAATTTAAGTGCCAATTAATTTCCTTGATTGCTATTATTACCTACATGTAGATAATTTAGGACTTCCTTTAGATATATTGTTAATATCTTTGCATGATCTACCACAAAGATTACACAGAGATTATTACTGCAAAGTTAATTAATATATCTGGAATTTCTGGGCTGCCTAGGAGGATCTTTTGCTAAGTCAGTAGATCTGGAATAGCCTCCTCCCTGCTGTTTCTCCTTGTCAGCCTGGTACTTCATTCAGCTGGTGGCACTGTAAAATTGAATGCCTGTACAATTGCACTTTTCGTTCTTGGCATACACTATTGCATCTACTGCAAGAGTTTCTCTTAAGCTATAAAAATATTGGTTCATATTAGTGAATCTAATGAAATATGTGATTGCATTCAATGCATTCCTCTTAAGAGAAATCAGAAAAACTGCAGTTTTGGTGCTGTGATACCCAAGAGGTGAAAACTCAGAGCCTTGTTTCACCACAATGCTGCAAGAATTTTTCCTGCCCTTCCAAGTGATGGATCACCAAGAGTTGTATCGCATGCTAGCCTTACCTTGCCGAGGCTAATTGAAATGAATGGGACTTAGACCATGATTGAGTACAACCCAGATTTGCATTTAAGTCCAGGGACAGAGAGGTCATAGGAGAGAATCCAGACTGTTTTATGGCATGATTGTAGGCTTTAAAGGATACTATGAACAAACATGCAGATGGACTGCTGCTACCTCCTGGCTGATTTGGGAATGGCAGCACAATACTTGGCAGTGATTTGGTAGGAAGCCTATTCAGAACCACAGTAATTTTCAGCAGCCATTCTGCTCTCAGTATTTACGCACTTATTTTGCTGCAAACTGAGACCTGACCATAGTAATTCACTAATGGGTACTCACTGTTTCTTAACACATGGCAGTCTGCATGAATCATAAAAAGATATGCCTCCTGAGAAGAACTGCAGCTCAGATTTTCTCATCTATCCAAAGCTGCTTTTAATTGCATTGCAATGTGACCAATTCTTACTATTTCACTTAATTTTGCTTTCTGGAAGGCAATGAGACATTATATGTATGGCATGGACTTTCATTGCTGGGAGGTTGAATCAAGGAGCTATAATTCTATGCTGCAGGCTGTGTTACTGGATTTAAATTACACCCTTTCTCCAAGGAGGACAGGAGTTGGCTGTTGGCTGTAGCCTCAGGTAGACCGGTCCACATTCCATTGCTAGATTTATCTTGAAATTTCTTTAGTCCCAGCACAAGCTGAAGTCCAGTAGTCTATCAACTGTACATTATTATGCATGTGTGAAAAATCTAATCATGTTAATTGTTTTCAAAAACCGATTGCTAAAGGGCATATCATTGAAAGTGGTATTTGCATAAACTGTCTCCAAATGGTGCAATTAATTATGTAAAATATTCTGCTTACAATAGTTAGTGAATTTTCTGAGTAAATGGGATTATAAAGTCAAAAACATGTAATGTATATTATCACTTCAGAAAGATGTAGTAGTAGCAATGGCACTATTAGCATAACTAGTAAGTTGTGACAGTATGATTATTTAGAGGATTGAAGATTAAAATGTACAAGGATATAAATTAAGTTGATAAATGGTTTCAATCAACTGTGGTACATACTTGTAGTTTCTTTAGGTTTGGCTGAAAAGTAAGGAAGAATGGAGATAATCAGGTTGGAGAAGGTAAAAATTTAATGCATCACCTGAAGTTATACTGAAATTACCATTCTTGGCAGATATGTAAGATAGGTGTGGAAGGGGTGTTCAACTCACAACTCCTAATATATCGTGTGACCAAGTGAACGTGGTACAAATTTTGAGGTGAGGTGGAAGTGGAAATAATATCCAGAATGGTTGGGCAGACCATGCAATCAGATCCAGAGCTATCTCTTCTTCTAATTATTTGATGATCCTTCCTGGGCTTTATTACTCAGAGACTGGCTTACTTTTGTACTCATAGCTGCCAGACTAGAAGCAACTCTTCTCTGGAATTCTTCTCTAAGAAGTTCTGTAAACTTGTGGCATGACAGGGTCTGGTACATACTGTGGTCTAAGAGGTATGCCCACCAAATCTTTTTTTAAGAAGATATGCCATCTTTTCATTTCTTTTGACAATGACCAAATGCACTCTTCCTAGCTGGTAAAAAATCCACCTGCCCTTTGAAAAAGATTTTCTTGGTTGATATCTGTCTGATTTTCCTCTATCAAATGTTTCTGTTTTGATGTGTTTTAGTTTTTCCTAACCAGTTTGTTTCTTTCATTTCTATTTCCCTTAGTCTTCTCTGGTGTTGTTGCTTAATAATCCATTTAGCATTGTTTAATTATACAATAAAATGTGTTCCTTTAGTAGTGTGGATGTAGAACAAGAAGCAAACAATTTCAACAGGTCAAAATTCTTTACTGATCTGATTAAAGATTGGGAAGCAGTATGCTGTCCTTATACATAAATAAGCTCTTTGTCTGATTTATTTATTTATCTGGAAGAACTGTAGAACAGGAATAATGCCAGACACCCAAGGCCATATTACTCTGCTGAATTTGTCAGCTCTGTCTCCTGCTCTTCCAAGAGGCCACATAGAAACTGTACTGTCATTGATTGTATGTATCAAGTGATGCCACAGATGTATTGAAAACAGAGTATGTACCTGGTTTTCCTTGAGGGACTTCTTTTTCATACCTTGGAGCATCATGTTCTGAAAAGAAATAAATAAGTTGAACTTGATGATAAATGAAGCAGAAATATTTTATTTATTTAATAGACTTTAAATCCCCCTTTCAGGATAAATTATCTCTCAGGGCAGTTTATAATATTTGGTAAAAGAAAGAGAACCTAAGTTTCCCCAGAAATACTACATATTAAAATGCAGCATTCAAGTAAAACAAAAAGACCACACAGAACAACATTTGAAGATGCAATCCTATATACTGAGTTACCTGGCAATAAACCCCATTTAACTCAATGGGATTTATTTCTATGTAGACATATATACAATTGTGCTGAAAATGTTGGAACAGCATATAAATAAAGCCTATTTTAAAATAATAAAATAATAAAATAGCAACAACAGTAATGCACCACAATCATCCGAAAGCACATTTTTCTATGTAGATATTCCAGAGAGATGTGACCACCACAAGGAAGGTCTCCTAAGAGGCCTAAAAGCTGCCACTTGTACCACTGGGATACAATCTGCCCTTTTAAAGATAAGGCTGAAGTTGTGAATCAGCTGAAACTGCAAAAAGCATTCCTGACCAGTGAAGGCAATGGTGCCTTGACCTCTCCAAACTGTATCCTTATATCCTTTGGTTGTTGGGTGATACAAAAATGAAATAAATAACAACACACACCAACCACTCTTTTCCCTGATCACTCAAAGCCAGTGGAGCGATTTGAGGCAGTTGGCAGTATTTATAGCTTTACAAGACAGAAAATATACACAATGTCAATCCTAGTGTGAAACACAACGTTTTGTAATCCTAGTGTGAATTCAATGCATCCCGGAAGTGTTTACTAAAATAGAAAGTAAAAAGCCAATCATTGTTTTCTACAAGAAGTAGCTAAAGCTTGTTTATGTAAATGCAGCCCGTCTGTCTGTCTTTCTGTCTGTCTAAATGGGGGCAAATACATTTAGTAGTTCTCCTAATCACATTAATGGCACAATAGCATTTAATGTTTCCATTTTAATACAAATTAAATGTATTTAATTTAATTCCAGTGCACATTCCAGTGCACAGCAACTGCACACACAGTCAGGACTATGATCCAGACAAATAAATCTGGGGATTCTTCTTCATAGTTAATTTCCATCCTACCTCTGACCCTAAGACAAATTTCAACACATTAGCTTGCGGGGAATCATAAATGATTGCCAGTCAGAATGGCAAATGGTTGCTTTTACTCAGAAAGCATCTCCAGTTAATAAGCACTGAACGACAGACAGCACTGATTTAGCAAGGCAGCTAATATGGGGAGTGTGCTTGTATATATTGAAACAGGGATGTTAGCCTCCTTCAGTTCAAGGGCCAAGCTCCATTACAGAGAGAAGAAAGGTGTTGTGGGCCAAGTCCATAGGGCCACAATGAAAGCACAGGGTAGCTTAACTCTTACTGTCACTAATTAAGTCTTGGCAGAATAATTTTCACCTTTTAGAATAAGAAAAGGATGAACAAAGGCCAAGAAACCCCAAAGCAATTAGTGGTTGGGTAAAATGAGATATCACCCTACCAACAAAAGTGCGTATAGTCAAGACTATGGTTTCCTAGTTACAATGTATGGCTGTGAAAGCTGGACCATAAGGAAGGTTGAGCGCCAAAGGATTGAGGCCTTTGAATTACGGTGCTGGAGGAGACTCCTGTGAGTCCCTTGGACCACAAGGTGATCAAACCAGTCAGTCCTAGAGGAGAGTAACCCTGACTGCTCTTTAGAAGGCCAGATACTGAAGATGAAACTCAGATACTTTGGCCACATAATGAGAAGGAAGGACTCCCTGGAGAAGAGCCTAATGCTGGGAAAAATAGATGGCAAAAGAAGAAGGGGACGGCAGAGGATGAGGTGGCTAGATGGAGTCACTGAAGCAGTTGGTGTGAGCTTAAGTGGACTCCGGGGGATGGTGGAGGACAGGAAGGCCTGGAGGAATGTTGTCCATGGGGTTGCAATGGGTCGGACACGACTTCACGACTAACAACTACAACAAAATGAGCATGGTCACCTGGGCAATCCCTACCCCCCATTGGACTACATGTGAACCCCTGGCTACCCACTGTTTTTCCTTGGTAGTGTCACAGTGGTCAGTGCTAGGCAACTTCTAATGTTGAATTCCGTGCTCTGATTTTCTAAGAAAACTGGTGATGAATGGATGGAAATACATGATCAGATCTCCAATTTTTAACTGTCTTTAAAAGGCAGTGGTGTACCATCTTCCCTGCCCTGCCCCTCATAAATACAAAAATTAAAAAATGGATGAGGACCACTGAGAGAAGAGCTGGCATTAGTCTGTTTCACCTACCATTTGCCAAATGTAAATTAGCTCATCTATACCCACATCTTTTGCCTAAAAGAGTAGCTTGATGATTTGCACTGGGAAAGAGACATGGGAAAAAGTGTTTACTTCTCTCCTCCAGTATTCTGGGCTGAGTCTAATTTTCACCCCACCATGCGACTGCTTTTATACTACGTTTAAAGACATTTCAGATCTCAGCTGTCTCATCTACTTTGGTTCCAAGCCCTTCTATTTTTCAGTGTAGCAGAGAGCATTGAAAAATGGGTCAAAGAGACATTTGAATCTGAAAGGGGGCTTGAAAAAATCAAAAGTTTACAACCAATTCTTCTAAGTGGTCTAAAGACCAAACTAGATAATCTAGATAAGATTCCAGTCACACAATTAGCTATTTTACCTTTAAAAAAGCCAATCATGCTAATTACTCATCTAGTTCAGCCTTAGGATTCAAAGGAAAGAAAAAAGCCACCTGAAATTGGTGTCTCTTGGTTTCAAGATGTAACATTTTGTGTGAGATCAATCAAGTTTCAAATTTGTTTTTTTTTAAAGTAGAGACCACATATTATCTCACATGGAAAAGGCATTTCTGTTCCACTAGATCCCTTTCTTTAATTCTTTATGCTGTTAGTTTTGTTCTCGTTTCTAACACACTTGTCAGTTCACTGAGAGATTTGTGTGCTTGGAAACCTGCTTGCTCAGCTCCATTTCACAGCTGTGAATTGAACTGACAAGGCAGTTTGGACACAGCAGTGAATGTGGGGAAGCAGCTGCTTTACACAGTGGAGCTCTTGTCGTGTGTCAACTGAATTTCAGAACATCCACTATTCTATTCCGTTTTTTAAATTACCTTCAGATTATATGCATTTTCCCAAATGGAGGAAAGAGGCAAGTGACCCAAAATAGCTTGGATGGTTATGCTGGGAAAGTTTGCATTTCAAAGTCTCAAAGTTTGTCTCAGCATGAGGGTTCCATGGATTTAAATATGAATCTATAGCGTAATAACCTGTAAGTGTACGACAAAGAAAATTTGCTCCTACCTGGTGAGGCCGCTGGTTCACCTGAAGTGTCAGTTGGAAAGTGGGACAGAACTCACCACTTTCTCCACAGGAATTAGGGCTGAGTTCAGGCAACTGAACCATCCTATATGTACTTTCTGCTTTTGCCCCTCCTTAACACTCTGTCAAGAAAGTGCCCCACTGACAATACTTTTTATGTACATTTGTATTTTCACAATTTACTCCTCTGGCTTCACAACCTGACACCTCTGGCTTCCCTAAGTTTGAGGGAGGACATATATGGCTGTTGAAAGGAGCACTGTTAAAACCAGGGTCTACCCTTCTACCCTGGAAGGATGCCAAGGCAGCACTTCTGGGTGCCCCCCCCCCCCAAGTGGCTGAGTTGGTCCAGTCTGCCACTGCCAAGTTGGAGCAGATGAGGGTTCTGTGCCAGAGTACTGTGGGGCTGGGTCACCACAGAGGCCTGGGCAGGGGGGCACAGCTGAACCAATCATCCTTTAGAGAGCCGAAGTGGGGTAATGGTTAAGAGAGTGGGACTGGGACTCAGGCGATCTGGGTTCCAGTCACTACTCAGCCATGGAGTCAACATGGGCCAGTCACAGACTCTCATCCCATCCTTGTTCATAGGGTTGTTGTGGGGATAAGATTGTAGGTAGCAGGAGGAGAAAGCTGTAAGCTGTTTTGAGTTCTTTTAAAAAGAAAAACATGGTGGGATATAACTCTAAACATATAAAATTCTGCAGAGAGCCATTCTGCTTGTGTCACTGCTGCCAAAGCATCCCCTTAGGACCAGGTTGTTAGTTACTAGAAGAAACCGTTTTTTGAGCTGCTGTCATTAAATAAATAAATAAGTCCTGACATTTTACTTGGCTCCTTAATTCGTGCAAGTCTAGTCTTCTTACATTCATGCTTTCTAGCACAATTAGTGCCTTCTGTATGAGATGTTTTGGGAAGCTGCTCTTCTAGAGAAGCCAGGCTGTCATGGAGGTCAGCCAGACATGATGAAAAGTATGCTATGGAGGCAAATATTCAACTGAATAAATGTATTAACTGCAGATCAACAACCCAAATAGATGATCCAAGTCTCCACAGCTCAGGGCATAACATACATTCAGTGTTTTTCAGCATCTGTTGTGGCATTCATTTGTAGGAAGTGAAGAACTAGGAAGTACAATGTTAGAGTTAGGATCAAACTGCATGATGTGTAGTTGACTTCAGAGTTAAAATTTTATTCACAAATATTTTCCCAAGTCCCCAAAGTTATATTTTAAAAAGAAACGCATGCTTCTGCAAGCAAATAAACTAAACACTGCCTAATCCCAAAAAGCACACAGAATGTGGCGACCAGTTTGCGGGAGGTCTACATTAAAGCCCCTTCTGTGTATAGGGCAGCACAGATGTAGTATTTATGCAACATGCATAAATTATCTCATGATAATCAATACAGGGTCTGGTGTCACATACAAATGCAGCTGTGAGATGAATGGGAGGAACTGGAAAGATTCCTTTGAAAAAAGAAACCCGGAAGCAGTAAGTATTAATAAGCAAAGGAGGGGAGACTTTAAAAAAGGAAAAAGCCCATGTACGCTTGCTTTTTCACAGAAAAATGTAAAAGGAGAAGTGCTGGTGTCCCCCACTGGGATCTGCACCCCCAGTCTCCTGCAACTGGAAGCAGGTAAGGCAGTCCCTATCCTTGGCTGGCTTCTCTAGTTGCTACCTAAACTGAAGTCAGTATGATTTACTTGTGAGTAAGGCCATTAAAGAGAATGTGATTTACTTCTGTTGGTAGCTAGTTGGTTTCTAAGGCAAGAGGACAAAGGAGACAACTGGGAAGCCTTGAAAAGACATGGCACATTTTTCTTTTTCAAAGAGAAGGAGAGTGGAGAAAAGAAAGCAGTCTTGCATTTCAAGTGAGTGAGCAAGAAGTATAAAAGAAATGGAAGGAGCTCCTGCTGCTGCTGTTTTGCTGAAGCTCCTCTTCATTTTCCCCACAAGTTCCAGCCCACTGAAATCACCCCTCTTGGCCCAGAACAGTACTGCAGGTTTAGTACATACATACACAGACACATCAATAAAAATGCAGTATTAAAAAGTTATTATGTAGCTGGTCCAAAGAGATCTGATAAATAATAGCCAAACTAGGGCAAGGGGGTTCAGATGGGCATCATGGGATATGCCCGCGGGTCAGGCATTACAATTCTGGCAAAACAATGTCTAGTATAGTTTGCTCCTTGGTGCAAGTAGAAATTCACTAGTGTAATGAGACTGTCTCCTTTTCTTTGCAGCTCCTGGATTCCTCTAATCAGCTCCAAAAAGTTTTCCCATGTTCCAGAGAAGATTTTGAGGGTGTGCAGGGAGAGTCAGAATTGGCTCCCCAGGTTCACTGACAGAAGTAGTTTTTTTTCTTTTCTTTCCTATCAGGAAAAAACTATTTCTGTTTCTGCAGTCCACCCAGAAAATTGCAAAGACAATATCTGAATTATGCTTAAGAACCAATATGGAAATATACCTGGTTTGGAATAGGAAATAGCCTTTTCCTGTTTTTCAATTTCATTTTCTCTTGTTTCTTTTCTTAAAAAGGATCAACGTCTTATGTTTCATGAAAAGTTCTCCTGCTGCACATTTTGCATGTGAAAACACTTCCTAACTTCTATATATTATAGGTTCAGCATATATCACACCATTTTAAGATCTGGATTTATATTATATGTCTCTTTGTCTCCATTAATAAACATAAGAAAAATAAATCTTTGAAATCTTTGGATGACCAGCAACACATTCTTGATCAAATAGCATATCAAGCAATAATTTCCCAAAATGTACTCATTAGTGTATTGTATTTGACTCTGTTCATGAACTTTCCAATTTATAGTATTATGGTCACAATCACTTCAATAACTGCTTGGTGCTATACACTATCTTTAATTAATGAAAAGCAGAAATGAAGTGCTCATAGTTTGGTCCTTTTCTTGTTTTTCCCAGGTAGATGTTTTTATATTTCAAAAATAAGTGGCTACCTACAAGAATTTTCCCCACAATCTAATAATAGCTGGAACAGGGTTATTATAAGACATTTTTACATGAAGAAATGCAAAACACTGAAATATTCCAACAGGAAAGAGATGCCCTGTTAGGTCAGATCAGATGATCTGATGCCCTGAAAAAGTGCATTCAACAGCCAGCAGTGGGAAAACCAAAAGGAATTTAACCAGCCCCCCCCCCCAAAAAAAAGGAATTTTGCAGGCCAGCTAGGTATTCAGTAATGGAGAAATCATATAGAGAACATATACAGGCTGTAGCTCACGGTGAGCAACTTCTGGCCATCCAGACTTTTTGACCTACAGCTCCCATCAGCCCTCTCAACTGGCTGTGCTGGCTTGGGAGTTGATAAGTGAACCAGCATCAGGGCCATAAGTTGCTCAGCTGTGCTGTTGGCCCCTGAACACAGGTTGTCCCTTGCCCCCTGCATTAGCAGAGAATCTATGCTTGCTTCTTATGTGCAACAATATATAAAACTTTTACAGATAATCATTTATCTAGTTGCTATTATATTCAATCACACCTCATTCCTTTGCACCTGGTAATCTTAACATCGGATTAAAGGGGCAGCACTGGATCAGGATGCCGCACCTGGACAAAGCAGGAAGGAGAAATGAGCAGCTGAGGCCAAGGAGAAGTAGCGGCTCCCAGAGCTACAGTGTTGCACCAAGAAATCAACAAAGAGGTGTGCCTGGTGCCTATTCTTTTTGGCACCAGGTGAAAATCTTTTCATTTGCCCAGTAATTTAATAGTTAACTTTTAACTTTAGCTTTTATATTGCATTTTACTCTGCTATACCTCTGTGCTGACTCGGTTGCAATTGCTGTGGTCTTATGGTTTTGTGTCTTTCTATTATTTTTGTTGTTTCTGTTGTTTTTAACTTTTGTCAATCTCACAGAGAGCTTTAGCTATAGGGCAATATAAAACTGAAACCAGTAAAGAGTAGCAGTATTGTCTCTTTGTTAGAGAAAATGCAAGGATATTTTTAAAGGAATTGCTTATCATTGCTGTTTCATCTGTGTAACAACTGCACACCTGCTTTATGAACATAGACAATTTCATTGGTCAAACAAGATTACCTATGGCAATTGTTTCACATAAGTTTTTTTAATGCTGTGTAGTTTAGCAACTTACTTGGTTTATGTTCCACTTTCTTGCCTGAAACAATACAAAGCAATAGGAGACAATGAGCGTCATTCATGCATAACCTCTAGAAAAATAATGAATGCAACTGAAACCCATCTGATCGCTACAGCAAGCCAAACCCAAGCAATGTCTTCTTATGTAATAACAGCACATAGTAATTGCTGCAGATATGATCTGAATGGCTACTGCAACCATTCATATCCTTTTCAGCTATGCAAAGATCCTGACAATGATCTGGGATTACCCCTTCCTAAAAGAGGGGTTTTGTGTAAATGCACACAAATGTTAAAATAGCGCAGCTAGTGACATGGGCTTTGAGTTCTGTGGAGACCATCCCAGTGTACCAGTCCCACTGAAATTGGGGGATACAAAGGTATTGTCTCAGGGGAATTGTTCTTACAAGCAACAATACCATCATATTATCTTGTCATGTCAAAGAGAGTTGTCAAAGACAAAAAACAAATTGTATCCTTTAATTCAAAGTAGTTTTGTACGTATCTTAAATAATTCTTGGTTTGTTTCTTGCAAGGTATTAATGCCTCAGCTCTGATTATCATGATCTTCAGTTTGGTGTCCCCAGCTACTAATTTTTATAATCTTTTCAAGCTTTGAGGAAGCCATTCCTGTTTTTCAGTTATGCTGCCAGGGTATTAATTATGCATAGCACATTTTTGCAAATCATCCATAAATAGGGATTCAGAAGAAACATCTTGGAGTGAAGTGAACCATAAGCTGATAAGGCTAAAACCAGACAATGTTTTCAGATCCAGAGCATCCTATCAATGATTATGTATAAATGGCTGTGTTTTAACAATGTGTGTGTGCTTGTGTGAACATGCTTGTGAATTAGAGTGTGCACACAGTGGAAAAAAATGTTATAACACAGAAGAGCAGTTCTTTTAGAGCCATTTGCTTTATGCCCAAAATGTGACATGGTGAACTGCAAAGCTGTTTAGAACGTGCATTTGATTGGTTTCTTTCAGAGCTGTCACTTAATGCTTAACAATGTTTGCATGCCTTTTAAAAGAAGAATGCTTAATTTAGTATGACATTTTAGTTGTTTTATGCTCTCAAGTTGTTACTATGGTTTCTATCAAATCATTACATTGCTAAATCAAAACATTCAGCAGCTGCTCTTCATCCATTACTATTGGCTTCTACAAGGTGACTCATAACATGAAGGAAAGCCACCCACCCATTATGTATGAAATGAAAGATGCTTGCCCCTGCCCCCATGTTTCTGGTAAAGCTGCAAAATCAGGAAATTTCCTGAAGTTTCTAGTTTCCTATAACAGTTCCTTGAAATTGTGTTATTTATAAATTGTGCATTTTTACTACTGTGATGACCAATGCTTAAGCAATACCTTTGCATCTAGGTAAGCAGCATTATAGCCATAGCAATCCAACCGAACAAAAATGTTTGGAAAACTGGAGTTGCTCCACTGATAATTTCTGTGTCTGTGTCATGTCAGGCCTTTAGGGCACTTCTGCTGTCGCTTCATATGTCAGTGCTGAACAAAGTAAGTGATATGGCTACCTAATTAAAAAAGGACTACCATGCTGTGTCCAGGAGTTATGGATGAAAAATAATGCTAGGGGCCTGGTTACAATTTTTGAAAAGCTGCATCTACAGTATTCTTCAAGGCTCAAGGGCCACTGGTAACATCCAGTCACCTCTTTCCCATCTCACTGGTAACATCCTGTCACCTCTCTCCCATCCAGTGCAACTCTCCCCATCTCTCCTATCCACCCTTTTTGGAGAAGCCATCCTTCTTCAGGGGATTTCTAGGGCTACCCTGCTTTGTCGGCTTTATCTGTGGGCTGGATGCTGCAATTGCACCAAGAACGGGAGGGCTTGTGGCAGGAGAGCTGCCTAAGAGCTTCCACTGTTGGGTAGCATAGAAATTAAACAAACAAATGGCTGATATTAAGGTGTGGGGTGGAGAATGCAGAGGCAATTGGCCACTTGGAGTGATGGGGAAGAAGCCTAAAAGGCAAAGAACAATATGATAGGTCAGTTATAGCTGTACACTGCACAGGCTAATGATGCAGAGAAAAACAGGATGGATTTAAGAGACAGACAGAGAGAGACTGAATGCAAACTTGTGCTGGGATATATTACAGCACTAGGTAAAGCAGGCCATTCCCCAGGTGATAAGCAAAAGAACCACCCTAGTCCAAATTTGTCTTCTTGGGTAACTTGGTGACTTGCTGACCTTGCTTGGCTAACATGAGGGATGGGCAGAAACCTGGTACAGTGGAAGGGGGATGGGACTGGAGAGAAGCCTTCCCAGAGTGCAGGAAAAGCCAAAGTGGCTCCTGATTGAAAAATAAAACAGTGTTCTACAGAATAAAATTATACAATTATCTTATACAATAGTATCTCATCTTATCTCTGGAATCATTAAGTGCTAGAATTTGGTTGTGATTGGTTTGCAAAACTGTTCTGCCACTTTAGAAAGTGTTGTTTGGCCATTTTGTACACTGTATTGATACTACAGTGTTTTAAAATGCCACACTGTCAACTAAGCAAAAGGGCAATATTTATCATTATACTAATACAATCATGCAGTAACCAGTAACACAGACTGTCTACGATATAGGTTTCCCACAATTATTAGTGAGAAACTTAAAGCATTCCCATTAAGTGAAAAGAATGGAATGTTATTCTTGCAATATATTTTAGCAAAAAGAAAATTAAGATCTACATTTTCAGACTGAAATCATGCATGCAATTTGACTGGTGCTATGTTGCAAGAATTTGTCTAACAGGATAGCATAGTCCATAGGAAATACAATGACTTCTATACTGATTTATTTAAGGGTATCCTGTTACCTGTTTTAGCTGGACTTTCTTCTTTTTTAATGTCAGTTTCTGAGGTAAAAGAGCAATAAAATATTGTTGAATTAGTATGGCTAACAACTGTTCATTTTACTGCATTAATTATTACTTACTTCCTATTACTGCATTAATTATTAGTTACTTCCTATTTGCTCCTACATTGTATGGCAAATCTAAACAAGAATCCTTTATAAGTATGTCTTTTGGGGTTATGCCAAATTAAATTGTGAAATAGACTGGCAATTCAGCCCATAAATTAGTTAATACATCACAAATAATAATAAGGACAGAGTCACATGACTATTATTCACTCTCACCATTCAGTTATTTCTATGTCACCACATGGTCAATTCCCTATTAGTTAAGAGAAATCCCCACTAATATGTGAGGGACACAATGCTCACTACTGTCTCACACTCTAGCATGTTGGGGAACTTGGTCACATGTGCCAACATAGTGGAGAACTTGGCAACATGGGCCTATCTTAAGCGACTTGGAGTCAAGTTGCCTTTACCTCAGACCTCAGTAAAGCAGTGGCAGACTGGGTGGACTGAGACTGTCTTGGTAGTCAGGGATCTGCTCTTGCCTGACTTCTTCCCATGTAGGTAAGATGTTTGAAGCTCTGGGCAATGTGGAAGGGAATCCGTAGGGTTCCTTTCCATTCTAGTGCTGGCAGGAGAAGTGGCAGAACCATGGGCTTTCTCAGGGTTCCTTTCTGCTGTGGAAAAGGATCTCCAGCAGTTCTCTTTCTTCAAGAGTAATGTGAACAGAGGGCCCAGATTACACAGAACAAGGAGGTACTGCTCTGAGTACTCCGAAATTCAGTGAATAGCAAGGAAAGAACATTTGGAGGAAATAAACACTTGGTTTTGATTTCATAGCCAGTTGAAATCCTGTTGCTTGGACAGCTTTGTCAGAGGAGAGGAGAGGAGAGGAGAGGAGAGGAGAGGAGAGGAGAGGAGTAAAACATTGCTTAATGAATGCTTCAGCAGCAGCTTTCCCCAGCCCTCCAGATGTGTTAGCCTACAAGCATGCCAGCCTTGGAGATGCTAGAACTTGTAGTTCAGCACATTTGCAGGGTGTCAGATTGGGAAAGGCTATAACACTCAGTGTTCCTGACCACTGATCTTTATGGCTGGGGCTGACAGGAGCTCAAGCACAAAGTATTGGGGGTCTGGACAATATTTGTGAAGACTGGACTACATGGAGTGCAAATACAGCTCCAGGGCTTCCTCTGAAAAAGGCAAAGATGGAAGGAACAAGAGCGTTGGAAGCCGCTTTATAGCAGGCTGAGTATTGGCCTTTGAGGCTAGCTGGGGATCACGGATCCTCTAACAGACCTGACATGTTTAACTGGAGATGCCAAGCAAGAAAACAGAGCTGTGCTGACTGCAATGCAGGTATCCTACCTCTGATCCTTGGGCCCGCTCTCAGGCACCATATCTCAGTAATGTCACCTCACAAAGTCATGGGACAAATAGCACCAGTGCAGGACTTTCCTTGTGCGCCCATGTGCTGAGCCAGTCTTCCCTAACCTGGTGCCTACTGGATGGTTTGGACTATAACTTTTGGGCCATCCCTAGGAGATGGGAACCTCGGTCCATCTAGCCTAGTGCTGTTAACTCTGACTGGCAGTAGCTCTCCAGGGTTTCAGGAGGGAGCTTTTTCTTGGAGATGCCAGGGCCTGAACCCAGGATGTTCTGAAGAACTGAGCTGGGCCCCATCTTTAATCACTGCTTGGGCCCCCAGTTGGGCAAGACTGGTGGACAAGAGCCGTATGCTACACAAACAATGAAACCCCTTCAATCTAGATGGTGGGGTTCGTGAATGAATGTCCGTGGTCCCTATCAGAGGGGCATGCAAAATTATCTCCATGGTGTCCCACAGTCCCCAGAACTATTCTTCTTTGCAGTGACTTCTCCCCATACCTTGTTCTGTAGGATCTGCGTGACATGACAGTTATTATGGTTAGAAAAGGAAGGGAGGTCTAACAAAATGCAGTGCTGCACATGGATGCTTGCAGCCAATTTACGCACGGGGGTCATGTTTTTCTGACAAAATGTCAATGTTCTGTCACATACATTCAGCATCACAGCACACATTCAGTTTGCTTGGGAAAATACTGTATTTGCATTATATAAATTCCCGTAGATTAAAAAACAAATCAAAATCAAAACAAAAAACTAGACTGAGGGCTCATTCCCTATCTGGCCCAGCAGCAGGGAAAGACAAATCTGTCAGTTTTGCTTTTCCTGTGTCTGTCACTTCTTAATAAACTCAAGTTCTTTCTGTCCCAGATAAGATTCATGAATTTTGGTACATTCTTATCAAAATGGAGTTCTTATCTATCTGCACTGGCCCCATTCAACGGGTACAAATATTGCCAGCATGGAGAGGAAAATGGTGTAACTGCCTGCCTGAATACAGAGGAAATCAAATCCAGGCTTTCAAAAGTTAATTATTCCAAGTCGCTTGAGTGTGTTTAATTTCACACTCAAGCATTTTTTAAAACCCTTACTTTTTTCCATCCCATTTGCAAGTTTTGGCAAGTTCTTATCATAACACGTGGTAAAATCCTACATGTGACAGAGAAGACCTGAGAAATGCATGTTCCTGGCTGCATGTGTTTGAGTTCATGTATAACTTTGGGTGATTTGCTTGATATAAGCATTATCTGTTTCCACCACGACAGGGATCCCAGATATTGGACAAAATAATAGTTCAAACTTATGTGCATTGAGACAGAAAAATCTCCCCAAACTCCCAATGATCCCCAGCAGCTTGACCTGGTGGGGAATGGTGGAAATTCTAAGATTTTTCCCCTGTCCAAACATGCATAGGTTTATACATCAGCTTATGTTCATAGGCATGAATTATTCACTTTTGTGCAGTCATTTGTGCAGGGGTGAACATATTTCCAAGGCCAATTCTCTTAATTCATGAAGCATTCCCTTCTTGTGTTGAATGCCTGAACCTGTATGTAGCCTAGGAGTGATATATTTCCAGAGGTGGAGTCAGGGACTGGGCTGCTAAATATGGAGCCCTGACATTTTCCCTGGGAGTCCCGAATCTCTGAGAGGCACTCTGTCTCACTTCCGTACTGATCATGGACACTTGCTGAAATTAAAATATGGGGTCCCAATGACCTCTGTGGCAAGAGAACCCCTCAAAGAGTTGCTTTTCACCCACATGGGCTTCACCTCTAGCTGCTTCCACTTTGAAATGTTCTTCTTGAGGATTCCCTCTCTATCTATACATGACTTTTTACAAATTGGAAGCTATCTTTTAAAACCCAAACACTCTTTAGAGAATATGTAAGTTTGTGCTTTTCTGTCCGTCCTTCCTTCCTTCCTTCCTTGTGGACCTGAGTTCCAGATATTTCAGGTTCCCAGCATCACCCATGCTGGCTTTGAGAAACAGCACTGGCATCCCTAAGTGATAACATAGCCTTGAGCAGATAGTTTAACAGCAAGCAAAGTTCTTGCTCTGTTCTCACCATCATCTATTCAAAATCCACGCATTCTGGAAGGAATTTATGTTGACAAAGAAGGAAAGCTAATACATGGAACTGGTATTTTGACTAACATACAGTATAAGATGACATTTACCTTTCTGTTTCTGGGCAACAGGAGGCTTCACTTCCTTTGGTTTTGCTGCCTCTGAAAAATCTAATTTTCTTAGTTTGCAAATATATATTTTAAGTGTACCTTGGCTTACATACAAATAGACATGTCTCATTTTTTAAAAAGTGAGAAAAAAGATAGACTCCTAAAGCAGAGTAAAGCTCTGCGCCCCCCGCCCCCCACCTGGCTCGGCGTCAGTTTCCATTCTCGGAGGTGATGGGGCTGGGGGAGGGATTCAGAACATGTGTAAAAAGCTTACCTCATGGCACATCAAGAGATGAGTACAAGAAGTGCAACAGTGACATTACAATCCTTGTTACGCTTATGGTCCATCTAAGTCACGCTGTCTCCAGAGGAGGTTGCCAGTTGCTCAGTGTAGTTATTGGAGCACAGTGTGAGCTAGAGCCAAGATCCCCTGGGGGCACTCCGCCCCCCCCCCCCCCATACAGCAGGACTGTATGTCCCCTTTGATCACCTCCCTTCTGCAGCTCAGGAGTTGCCCCACATGTGCTGTGAAGCATCTCCTGGCTCAGAACCAGTGTGGCACAGCCATTAAGAGTGTTACACTGGGACTCGGGTGATCTGGATTCCAGTCCCCTCTCAGCCGTGAAGCTCACTGGGTGACTCTGGGTCAGTCACTGACTCTCAGCCTCTCCTACCTCACAGGGATGTTGTTGCGAGGTTAAAATGGAGAAGAGGAGGACTGTGAAATCTGCCTTGTGTTGCTTGTGGGAAAAAAAGGCAGGATGTAAAAATAATAAGCCAATCTCTGCAGAACAGATCTGGGGAGGTGAGGCAGAGCTTCAGGTGCAAGGGATATTTACCCTGCCGGTAATTTTCCTGCTCTTGGAGGGCAGCCATCATTAGGGAGCCCTGCGTTAAGGATTTGGTGGCTGTTGAAAGATAACTGAGCCAAAACGTGATGGTTCTGCTTTACTAACCTACCCGAGAGACCGTTTTAGTTATTGTAGCACCGGTGTTCTTGTGCTGGAGCTGGATGTCAGTAAGGATGCCTACACTTCTTTCTATTATAAGCGCATGGGAGCAATTCCAGAGTTAAGGTGAACTCTCTCATTTTTAAGCTACCTGTAAATTCTGACTTTCACATGGAAAGCTTACCTTTTAGTGAACTCTCTCATTTTTAAGCTATCTGTAAATTCTGACTTTCACATGGAAAGCTTACCTTTTAAGTTATTCTAAAAATACAGGGCTATTTCACAAATGTGCCTTTAGTTTGTCTGGTGTAGGGAAGATGACAAAGCAGATGTTCATGGAGGCTCAGTTTAAGTGAGCAGTGTATGTGAAATGTTAGAGTTTGCTTTCTGCTCATATGCTCATACAGACAGTAAATTAAGTAATTTACCTTTTTTGCTGGTTTGGTACATAAATTAAATTTATAAAGGCTTAACTCTGCTCCTCAGAAAAAGGCTTTCTTTTTAATAGAATTTAAAAATCGTAGAACATTATTAACAACAACAACTCCTTTGGTGTTAGCAATTTCCCCCATGAAAGAACGTGTGCTCTTAAAGGAACGTGCTATTTTGTAAGTAATGCTTACCTTTTTCTTTGGCAGCAACTGGAGACTTCACTTTTTCTTTTGCAGTATCTAGAACAGCATATTAATTAGTGATTAAAGTAATTCCATTATGATTTAAAAGAACTCACACTTATCAATATTCATATGAAGATTTCATCAAGAGGAAGAAAATAGAAAGGCACTGTGGCTCACAGATATATATTCAGAAAAGCCACCTGTGTGTGTTAGGAAACTGCACACTTGCTATTTATACTAGTTATCACCTATAAAGTATGCTTTATACAAATCAGAAGTAGGCAGTTGGCTTGTGTAACTAAAGGAAACTTCCCATGATGTGTTGTTTATTCTCCAGAAATATTTCAAAGTGATACTTGAATCAGGGATATGTGAGATACATAAACCTGTGTATGCAACCCTTTTAAAACTGTGTTGTTGCCTGTCTACAATGTAAGACTTGGTTCCTTACACTCCTTTCGGGTGCTATTCACAGTAGCCTCCCCCTACACTCCAAAAGAGAGCCAGTGTGGTGTAGTGGTTAAGAGCATGGGACTGGGACTCAGACGATCTGGGTTCGAGTCTCCGCTCAGCCACGGAGCCAACTGGGTGACTTTGGGCCAGTCACAGACTATCAGCCCAACCTACCTCACAGGGTTGTTGTTGTGGGGATAAGATGGAGGAGGAGAATGATGTAAGCTGCCTTGAGCCCTTTGTAGGAAAAAGGCAGGATAGAAATCGGAAAAAATAAATAAATAAAAGGACAGTTTTGTTTCTTTCCTCTCTCATACTGAGAAGAATGCCAGCCTGAAAAGACTGTGGAGCATCACACTGAGCTACATACTCTCGGTCCAGGGTGCAATCATGTTAGAACAGTCCTTGACATGGCTGCTGCAGCAAAATCATGGCAAGGGTAGAGGGAATGCCTGTGAACCATTGCAAATCAATAGGAAACAGCAAACACATAAATATGAGATGTTTCCTCCTCAAATATGCATTTCCAAGTCCTTGCAGGCTCAAGAATAAGTAAGATTGGAAGATTTTAAATGTATACCATTACCCCTTTCCTTTGGGACTTCTGGGGTCTTCCGTGGCTTCTCTTTTGCAGTCTCTGTATAGAAGTACAGTTATCAGACCTCATTTAAAGCTAGCAATTAAGAATCTACTGAAACTGAATCTGTGCAAAAGATTGTGAGTTTTGTGACTGAACTTTGAGATATTAACATTGTATTCATAACATAATTCATGTCTCTGAATAGTAAAACTTAAGGGTGTGATCCAACAATGTCAGTCATGAATGGGCTTGGATAGCTTCTGTTCATGAATGGAAAGTTGTACTTACAAAGGTGGTCCTTCTGTGACCACATCTCTACCTTTTCATGGGGAAAGAACATCCGATCCCACCCTGTAGAGCTCCATGAATCCCCACTGTTTTTCTTTGTGGTGACTTCTCCTGTTTTGCTGTGTTAATGTGGAGTGACACCAGTTCTTTAGTGTGTTCTGCATTTTGCTTAGTTGAGTCTCAGACTTTATAATAGGGCCTTTCTACACAAGACCTCTAACTCACCACTTAACTGAAGCTACTTTTTATAGATTCTTTTCAGGATTAAGTTTCACTTGCTTATATATGTTTATTTTCCAGGGGTTTTTTTTCCCTGCCTTTGTTTAATTACTCTATTCCAGCATTTGTTCCAGTATATGTTCCAGTACTTTACTCCATTGTTCCATCACTCAGCCACAAGGTGGTGCTGTGGTATAGCTACATTGTGTCAACAGAGGAACCTCCCCTTCCAACCTGTTCTACATTTGAAACTCAATACTACTTATTTTCCTCATGCTACCAAATAAGAAAAAATAAATAAAAGTAAGTAAAAAGTGGAAATGTTTAGAAAGCATGAGTGACAATGCAATTAAATCATGTATAAAGTACTGTGATGGTTATGCAATAAATAGCTTTGCAGAGAAGCTAGTATATAGCATATTAGGAGACACAGAAGTAAAATGAAATACATAAATAAATAAATAATATTCAGTACGAACTTCCTTGAATGGAAACTGAGCAGGGCTGGAACAATGTTTTTGGCCTTTCAATTTTCCTGACCTTATGTCTTGACTCTATCAATTTTGCCACTGAATAAATAACATGCGGTTCAAATCTTACTGAATGTCATTTCCTGTTGGTGGTGAACTATTGACCTTTCCGTGCTGAGATCAGTGATGCTTTGGTGGGAAGGAATAGATTGGGACAGATGTCTCAAAAGCCAGGAGATCCTTTCTGACCTTCTCGAATATCATTTGGTGCAAGTGAAACAATGCTTCAGCTTGTAGAAGTCTTAATTGCATCCAATTATCAGTTAACTGACCTGAAGGGGCATTTTGAATGTCAGGCTTCTGAAAAGCATTGAACTAGCTAAGCACATTAGTCAGAGAAACTATTTGTTAAGATAAGATTCTGTGTAAACTAGCTATATAAAGAATGCTGCTCCAAGTCGTCTTACATCCACTATATAATTATGTATATAGTGGATGTAAGACTATATAAATATATAAATGCAGGATAGTTAATGCTGAGTCAGACTAGAAATTGATTTAGCAGACTTGGCAATATTGTGCATTAAAAACAAATGAGGACATGGGGAAATAGAAGTACCCATGTCTTATTACATATGACTTTTCATGTAACACATGAAGAGGGTGCCACCAATCGCTCTTAAACCAAGATGTGTGAGAACCACCTGGAATTCATAACTCTCTCACCTTCACAAGTTATTCATGGAACTGCAGCATCTGGTCTAGATCTTTGAAGCGGCTCTAGCAACCAAGACCTGTGCATGTGTCCTCACAGCAGGGGATACTTCAAAACAAGACTGCCATCCTATGTACATTGCCTGGGAGTAAGCACCACCAAATGTAGCAGGCCTTATTTAAACTTAAACATGCACAGGATAAGCTTGTACTATAATTCTTGGATGCTGACTAGCCTGACACTTCAAGAATGCTCACACAATGCTTTTGATTTAAATTAGAGAGAAATGAAGACTTGAAGAAGACGTGATTTTTCAACAGACTGAGGAGCTGAAATGGTTGACGGGAAGGGTTTGTGGACCCATGTCTTTTTGATGCCTCGAAGGCACGTCAGTGTCAGTAACACCTTCATGACTGCATTCATGTCCTATTCAGTGGCTTGTGCAGGCTCGGATTGAAACCTTTTGCATGTGTGCAGCTGTAAGGGGGCAAGCCCCCAAGTGGGGAAAACTCCCTCCTTTATTATAGTTATGATTAAGTTATGAGAATTACAACGTTTGAGTTTATGTTCAGTTGCACAGTTGTATCTTTGTCTTTGTTTCTTTTTCTTTCCCATGCTATGTCTATTTTCAGACAGATGATATGAATATTAATAGATACAGTCAAACGCAGGTAATGGCAGGCAATTTAGCTGAGAGTGAATCCTGTACTCCTGTTCAGACATTTATGCTGGTCCTTTCCCTTCAGCTTCATCCTTGCCAGCTTGAGCAGCAAAGTTTGAATAGAAGGTCTACTCACATTAGCTTGAACACAAGTAAAACCCCCTGCAAAATCAGGGATCTTGATAAAGCAGGTTTCCAGCTTGCACAGAGAGTTCTGCTTAGGTTCAAGTAAATGCAATCAGAACTCCTATTCAGACCTTGCTGCTCAACATGGTGGGGCCAGAACTGTGCAGATGAGGTACATATGCACCGAAATGCAGGATTTGGGGCTAGCATGTGCAGCCCAAACTCTGACACATGCCTAGCCATTACCTGTTTAGGCTGAATGACTACAGAAGTCCAGCAAGCTTATCCAGTTTGAAAAGCTCTTGTTTCAGACATCTACCACAAATGTCAGAAAAGCTTGCAAGACTGTTTGAAGACTTCAGGCATTTACAACAGAAGGAATATTTGAAATTTTCCTTTTTGCTGTTATTATTTACAATAGTACTTATTGTTGACCTTTTCCCTTACCCTTTGTGGCAGCAGCAGATTTCTGTTTTTCCTTTTCAAGCTCTGTGAAGAAAAAGTTAAAAGCTTGCTTTAGAAATCTGGACCCTGAGCATTATATGCACAAGAGGTATGAAAGTTATCTAGCTTGCACTCTGGCGCATCCCATCACAAGTTACTTTTCTCCAGGGACACGTTCATGTTGTGAGCTTGGTTCACTGCGGGGTTCGCTAAGTCGCTGCAAGATCAGGGAGGGGGACTGGCACTGCTGGGCCACTGGCAAGGTCCTTTGGCCTGCAGGACCCGTTGCAATCTCTGAAGCCTCCTGGCCTTGCCCTCCCCTGCTGCCACTTCTCTGCCCACTCCATCTGTGAGGAGTGAAAGGAGCAAGGAGAAGGTACAGTAGCCTGTGCCTACCTTGTCCTCTCCTGCTTGGACCCTAAGGAAGATGCAAGAGGACCCTAAGGAAGTATTGGACCCTAAGGAAGATGCAAGAGGCAACAGCAGTGAGAAGAGATGGGGGTCCTAGAGCAATTTATCCAAGGGCCTCCACAAAACTAGGAATGGTTCTCATTCTTTCTTTCAGAGAGCACCTGAATAAAGCCAAATGGACATGTCTTTCAGTTTTATATGGAAGCAATTATAAATGTGTTCTTAGACCTTAGCCAAAATGTCCTGGAAAGTGCATTACAGGATAGACAGCCAATGGGGATTACACTGGATGCCTTGAGTTCAAATGCCTATTGCTCTACAGCTGTGGATCCAGGTCTGAATCATCTAGAAGCAGTGAGCAGAAGCTGAATTCTGTGTGTTCACCAATAATTTCAATTACATATCAAAAACAAGCAACAAAAACTACCCATGGCATTAGAAGCTATGACCAAGACTGGCCCAGCAGGCTGCCTTGTACCAGTGCTAACAAGGGCACTGCATCCGGGTCAGAATAATGTTCTTATATTGCACAATTAAGAAGCTGATATGGACTTGCTTATGTATGAGCCCATTAATTTCAATGGGCTGGATGGAACTAGTGCTGTCCATCAATGCTGGAGGCAATGGTGGAAGCCTGGAAGTGCAAGCACTGGAGGAGAGGGGAGGAGATTTCCTCCGCAGCCCTTCGCCCACTTCCTGCACTCTTCAGAGGGGCTGCAGGAGAAGGAAAAACACATAAAAACGATCCCTTCTCTCCTCTTCCATCAGGAGCGCAAAGGAGCTCTAGATTCGAACAGATGTCGCCAGTGCATCTCACTCTGTATGGGATGAGCATAGATGTCACAAATAGTACCAATGAATGTTATGGTAAACGAGCATTAAAATTATTTATGCAATAATCTTCCTCCATGGAACATTTCAGAGGTCTTATGCAGTAATACTATGTATTCATCTGATCTCAGTGAATTTTACTTCAAAGGAAGCCTGCTTTGGGTTCAGGATGTTACTGACTTTACTTTTGTCATCCAGAGTTACAACATTTAAGTGGAGCTTCTAATTATTTCTGGAAATGGAGATATTTCAAATCACAGAATGCTTAACACATTGATTCAGAACTTTGGTTCTAATCACCCAAGGGAAACCTGCAAAGCTGTTTCCAAGAAGAGCTTTACAGCAGTATTTCAGTCGAAGTCAAACTGATTACTTGATCTGAAGAGATCAAACAATTTTGAAGTCTGGCTCATTATGGATGTTGCCTTACATTCCATCTGATCTGATAAACCAGAAACATTTCAGAGGCAAATGTTGTCTTAAGGGGTAATTTAATGTTTGTCATAGTGCTATCCATATGCCAGACAAATGCAACTGATAAGCTAGAAATGTGTGATTATGGCTAGCGCAAAAGCAGTTCATTTCAGGTCTGTTAATGCTGATTTTTATTAAGTTCCTTGTTTGTATTCTTTGTCTTTGCATGAAGGCTTTAGAACATACAGCCAAAAATCCCAGCTGAAACCTGGTATCATCAGTTAAATTAAACTACTAGGATTAGGATGATTTAGGCAAGAGACTACACACATTCACTTGGAAGCAATTTCTATTAAAAACATAAATCTGTTTAGAACAGGAAGTACTGGCCCTTGGACTGTAATTGGGGCTGTATTTCATAAACCTAAACTACAATTTACAACGCACATTTTCTGGCTGCAGTCCCTGTGACTTCCTATTGAAAGATAGCTAGATCCCTTATAAAATATAAAACATAATTCCCCTTACACATTACCGTTATCCTTAAAAAATGTATTTGAATCTGAAGTGTATACTCAGTGAAGATCAGAGAACAGAGGCAGCTTTTTTGGAAGATGTTTTTCTCTCTCTCTCTCTCCCCCTCTGTGTGTGTGTCTGTGATCATACATAATCATAAGAATGCCAGGGCTCTGATTGCTGGTTTTTAAACACAATTATCTTTCCACAACAGTGAAATATCAACAATATTTGCAGAAATGCCAAGCATATTTATGAGAAGGGGGAAATATGAAATCCCTCAAAAGATTGCTGTGTTCATTGTCTACTGAATGCTGACTGATTGTTGTTGGGGTCAAAGGAAGCCCAAGATTTTCAAGATTTAGTCTTGAAAATATGCCTGACAGCTTTGGGCAGTATAGAAATTAAATTAATAATAATGACAGAAAACTGGGTGTGTTGTATATGTTTTTGTAGAGAGCTAAGAATCTTTATGTATGTTGCAAGTTATGCCATATTTCTCCCCCGCCCTGTCTTTTTTTAAAAAAACTTCCAGTTTCTTGTGCCAATGATTTTCCTTGAGCCATTGGGCATTTTCATAAAATTATGTTATTCTGTGGTTTTACTCATAGTGCACATACTGATTTTGTGCTCTCCTAAAAGGTGGGATGCATGAACAAATATTATACAAACAGAAATTATTCATTGAACGATATACAAAATTTCTAGAAAACAGCATCATAGAACTTACTTGATTCTTTAGGCTTCAGTTTATCTGCAAAAGAAGAAAAGATATCAGCTAATCTAATGTTATGAGAACTAGAGACAAGCGAACACCATATGAAGAGATTTTGTTGAAATCAAGTGGTGATGATCATGTGTGTGTGAAAGCATTGTAAAATAACATTTTTGTCTCATCCTGGTTCCTTCCTTACTTACTGACACCAGCAAAATTTCATTAATTAGTAAGCTGTTTTAAGATGTTTTACACTGTTCAACTTTTTTTACATGTTATTTTATTTTTATCATATGTTTTTATGAATGGTGCAAACCACCCAGAGAACTTCTGTTGTTTGGCAGTATAGAAACATTATAAATAATAATAATAATTTTGCATAGTTTATTTTGGGACTGTTTGCTGAATGTGGTTGACATGATGTTGCTGTGTGAACTCATATTGCTGCTTCAGCATATATAGACTGGTGAATCTTCCACTTAACAATCATATAGGTTGCTCTATTTAACAAGGACAAGCAAGTGAGCTTGGTTGTTTGCGGATGGAATAGCTGTTTTAGCAATTAAGGGTGCAATCTCATGCATGTTTAGATAGAAATACAGATCATGCTGACTTGGAAATGTGTGCAGTTGTAGAACTCATTTCATTCTAAACATACATAGTTTGCATGTAATTTTCACAGCTGGTGACTGTCTCCTCTCTGCATTAGAATCTGATAGTTTCACAAATGTTTTGATAATTCATTCCCTATTTCATTATCATCTTCAATTATTCTAGCACAAGGTCAAAGCTTTTTTTTGGTTGAGTCAAAATGCATACATAATGGAACTACTGGTGTTGAAATCGTAACTTTATTTAATCCCCCTTCCAATTTTCATGTTTCTTTTGCATTTAGTTCATATTGCTGGGCGTATGCTATTGTCATATTTTTATGACATTTACTTTTTTGCTTACAGAGTTTTTCTCTTATAGTAAAGAATGAGCACCATAATCTGAAACTTCTTTTAAGGGTGCAATCCTATACCCACTTACTGTGCCCATTGAATTCAGACATGAACTGGGTATATTTTGAGGGATTTTGCAATATAAATAATTATAAATGCTATGCAGATCCAACATAGCATATGTCTGGATTAGACTTTTGTTGCAGCGTTCCCCTGCCTCATCCTCATTCACAAAATTTTATGGGTGGGGGTTCAGACATGGTCATCCTCTGCTTGTGACCCTCCTTTGTTTCCCCACTACTTTGCTTACCACTGAAAATCCATGGGGTGGGGAGAAAGATAGCATGTCCTCTGAATGGTTGCATTCTGAACTACCATTTGGAGCATCCGTATGATACATTTCTTTCTAAAAGCTTTTAGCATTCAAAATATTCCTGGCGTAAATCAGAACAGCTAAAATAATTCAGGCTGCAAATGGTGATGATTTAGCAGGCCAACTGAAGATTATGGAACTAATTCCTTTCTGCCTCTACACACAGTTGCATACCATTTTATTCACAGAGATATCTGACAGATAGAAAAGGCTACTTACAGAGATAGTGGAAGATAAAAAAAAAATCAAGGCTGTCCACTTATTATTATTTTTTGTAATGCCTCATGGGTATTTTAATTGCTACAGCACTCTTCTTAGATAACATCTTCACTGAGTTTCTTTTTACCTTCCTCTGATGCCTTCAGTGGCCTATCTTCTTTCTTTTCATGTGTTGCTGCAAAACACAGATAATTTTGATGTCACACTTAGTCACTTGCATGGGTCACGCAAACCAATAAGCACAGAAGTATTTGGCTTATTGGAAGTCATATCGCACTACTGATCTGATCTATTTTCAAAACAGAACTTAAACATTGTCTAGTGAAATATTTTTTGTCTTCTAAGAAAATTGCAGGTAGATTGAATTCTTGTATGATTGGAGGAAGAAGCATGCAAAAAGCAATCTCCCAACATTATAATTATGCATTCTGGTATAAACCCAGAGATATGGCAAACAAATTATGAATGCTTTCACTTGGAAGTATGTACCTTGATGTTAGTGGAACATGGCCCAGGATGTGGACTTCTACATATGCTTAAGTTGCTTTACACATGGCACACCTGCAAACCTTTGCTTACAGCCTGTGCTTGTGATATTGGAGCCCTTCATTACTGCCCTCACATGGATCTACTGGAGAGTGTTCTACAGACAGAGTCTATCCCATGCAGTTCTGCTAAATTAAATTCTAGAGATCAGTGTAGGAACCAGGACATGTCAGATTCCTTCAAAATGCCAATATAATTTCTATGCTTCCAAATACGTTGTGGCGAGAATTACTGAGAGCTTGATTGCATCATATGAGGTGCCAAAAGATGGTTGGGATGGAAACCAGCAAATCTTCCCACCCATCCAAGGCTCATGTGCTCATTCTTTTCTGCTCCAGCAGGGCTGCAAGGAAGAGACCATAAGCTTCTGGTCCCATTTTAAATTATTCATGGTTGATCTGGTGCTTGAGCCTTAGTCTATAGTTGCTTCACCAGAGTTAGTAAAATCAAGCCATTTTTTAAACCATGGTTTGAAGCTGGATTATTTCCACTAAGTCATTATTAAGAATAGCCATAGATTTTGACTACAATTGGATCATATGGCAAGCTCTAGTTTAAGGAAAGCAGAACCAAAAGCTTCCATACTGGGGGAAGGCTAGGCTCATTCATGCAATGCAAAACCATGATTTAGCATTATAACCAAATCAGCCCAAGGAATGTAAGGTGCTACAAGTACTTAAGAGAAGTTCTATATAGCTGAGGAAGATTATATGATTAATCATGATACAAGAGTTCAGGTTTTGAAATTATCTCAGTAAATCTTCTGCACTTTTCTAAGGTATTATTCCTGCAATCCTATTCACATTATGCCAGAAGCAAACAGTGAAAACGGAAAGGAAGCCTGAGTGAAGGAACAAGTTGGCTTAAATAGACTCTTATTTTCAGTTTAGCAGGTTCTATTTTTAGCAATTTAACAGGTTCTATTTTGCATGTTCAGCTTCTGAAAAATGAGAATATAGGTGAAATGTAGAATAGACTGAACAAATTATAATTGGATTGTACTATAGTTGCACTATAAGTATGGTTGAAATAGTACCGGAAAACATGTGTGTAAAATGCTTTTTTCTACAAAAATCTTAATGATTCTGCATTTATATAGAACTGTGGAATGCACATTATCATGAGGACAGAAAGATGACTTGAATGTAACTTTATCAAATGTTAATATTAAAATATTTCCTGAAGACCATTTTTGTCTAACTTATCCACAGGTTCCAGAAGAAATAGAATCCTTTCAAATATCACATGTCTTTACAAATATAACATGTAAATTAAATTTCAAGAACATGAAAATAGACATTAATAATAAGAATAACCAAACCAATATTTCATTATGCACAATAAACAACTAAATATAATGCTTCCCATAAACTGCTTGCATGTAACTCACACAAGGTATTCAGCAATTCAAGCTTGATCCTGAAGTATTAAGGGAGGGAAGTGAAGTGCAGGGTGGAATTATTGGTGAATTGTGATTCGAAAAGAAAATGGCAAGTGTGGCTCATTGTAAAATCCTTCAAAGGACATTTCTAAATCATGCTTCAGGATGTGATGTGTGAAATTATTCTTTGTACTTTCAAAAATTTCTCCTATTTATTTAGCAGCTGAGCCATGTCAATTCATGCAGCCCCCTCCCTGTGTACATTGGAGAGAAGAAATACCACCTGGAAATCTCCATGAATGCTGCAAAATTTGTGAGCTATATAAAAAATCCATGCCTGATATTGAAGGACTGAAACAGGGTGCTTCATTTCACCTTCTGAAAAATCAGTTCCTTATAAAGGAGCATTATGATCAATCAACTTTACAAAAAAGGGGCAATAGGCACAAAGGAATGCACAGCTCATACCATAATCCTAAGCGTAATGGCATGAAAGGAGCTCCTAGTGATTCCATGTGAGATGTTCTTCCAAGCACATCTGCTTAAGATCAGTATTCTGTCCATAGTCTGCCTATGCTTGTGTGTGTGTGTGAATCTGTCACAAGTGTGAAGGGATACATTCATTCAAAGAAGGGATCCAACCTACGTATGGAAGAGAAGGACATCTAGATCCCTTTGTGCTGAACTATGCCAGGATCTGAAGCCATGACACATCTCCCTCTGGTGACATGGTTATGAAAGGCAGCATGGCTCATCCTGCAAATACCTGCGGGGCCAGGATCAGACCTGTCGGTACCTGCAAGGGCTGTAGCCTGTGTGGCCAAGCAGCTTAGCTGGCAGCTCTGGAAGCCTCTTTCAAAGTCTCTGACTCTAACCTTGCAGCACTTAGCTTGTCCACAGCAGTGTGGGCTTCACTGGAGGCTGCGAACTGCTCCGGCTTGCCTTTGGTTTCACCTTGGCTTGTCGGCTGCCTGTGCTTTGGATTCTCCAACCTTGCCTTATGCTTTTATCTTGATAGTATCCGACCTTAGCTGGCCTCTAGACATTGCCTGCCCCTCTTCTGCTGTGCCTGTTCCTGACTCTGCCTTCACTTCTGGACCCGCTGTACCTTGTCAATGGTTCTCCCTTTGCCTTTGGAACTGCCTTGCCCTGCTGGATCATGGTTCTGTTCACGGTTCTGCCTTTGCCTCTGACCTGCAGGCCTAGCCAGGTATCTGCTCTTCCCTTGTTCCTGACTTGGTCTTTGCTTCAGGTCCTACAGCATCTCCCTGAGTCTCCACCACCCTGGTCCTAGTGCTCCAGCTGTGGATACTGCTGCCTGTGTCCCAGACTTGACAAAATGAATGGCAGCACAGCTCAGTGAATGCAGAGTATCCTTACTCTCTGCAATATACTGGCATGTTATTTTACTGTGGCATTTTTTTACTGATTGAACTGGATGCAGCCATTTCACTCTCCCCACATGGAAAGGAAAAGTTCCCTATTAGCAAGAAGTCCTAGGCTAAAAAATATTAACTAACCCTCTGGGGAGAGGCTAGGAAAGAAACGTGGTAGCAGACTGTGAGCAGTGGATTAAGTCACTCCTATAATTTTGGAGGTGGGTAGGCGGTTAAGAATCTGTAGCACATTTATATATTTCTATACAGTTATCTTGTTTTCATTTGTATATAGATACAGTTACCTGTTGGGTGTATGTGTTTGACTGTAAAACAAAATATCCAGGCATCAAGTCCTCATGCTCATCCACCCATGAGGAGCAGAGCACAGCTGAACTCAGCTGCCCTGTTTTTGCCATCCCTGCTGAGAACCGGTGTGACTAGGAGTGCATGACAGGGACTCGAATGATCTGGGTTCTAGTCCCCACTCAGCCATGGAGCTCAAGGGTGACCTTGGGCCAGCACAGACTCCCAGCCAAAGCTACCTGGTTGTGGGGATAATATTGGGAACAGGAGGAGGAGAATGATGTAAGCCACCTCGAGTTCCTTGGAAGGAAAAAAAGGCTGGATAAACATCTAATAAATAAATAGAAGTATTCCTGTTGCTCAGCTTCCTTCCAGGTGGATTGCGGGGGTTCTGAAGCAAGTATGTGTGTAGCCTCCCCACATAATTTACAGCCATGGTTGTGCGAGTTGCAGATCATACCCTGGCATATAAACCATAAGGAGTAGAAGTGGACAGGATTTGATGCTGGCAGCACAACTGCCCTTGCTGGCCTGCTCTTCTAACATGTGCGTCACCACAGGAGGATGCACTGGCTCTTTGATGATCTAGGGGAGGGCTCGTGGGCACACATGGCACAGTCCTCTGGGGAACCTCCGTGGACTGCGCTGGGACCCCAGGAGAGCAGTGTCCGGTCTGCAGGCCAGGAGATCTGCTGGCAGCCACTTGTTGGATTGTGGTTTCCATGAGGAACTACATCTCCCACTCCCATAACTAATAAGGGACACGGCTGTTTCCCCAGCCCATGCCCCATGCTCGTTGGCTATGGGCCTTTCCATGCTGTGTATATAAGTCCATTTCTCCTCAGAATGGAGACAGTGTTACTGACCTTTTGGCTTACGAGCTTCTGTGGTCTCTGTGAAATAAAACAAGAAAGCACTTCAAACATGTGGAAATCTAGAACACACTGGATATGCATTATTGATGCAGGGTGCTTCTTAAACACGGGGGTCTGTGAGGCTGGTGGCAGCAATAGAAAAGCACAATTAAGGTTAAACATATAAGAAGAATGATGGATCAGACCAAGGTCTATCTAGTCCAGCCTTCTCACAGCTTGACCAGCTGGCTGCCCTGTGAAGCCCACAAACAGGATTGGAGTCCTGACTCCCCCACCCATCTGTTCAGAATCTGCCATCAGTTCGCTTCATGGGATGACCTTGGATTCTAATATTCTAATATTATTCCTATCCACTTTTTCCATGCCATGGATAACTCTGAACATCTCTAGCATATCTCTCCTCATTTGCAGTTTCTCTCACTAAACAGTTCCAGATGAGGTACCTTTTCTTCTCAACCCCTTGATCATCCCAATCCTTCCATTTCTCCCAGATCTGCAATATCGTTTTCTAGGTGACCAGAACTCCATGCAGTATCCCAAAAGTGGCTGCACCAGAGACTTGTAGAAGAGCAAAGAGTATGATATCATCAATTTTATTTCTGATTTCTTTCCTAATCATCCCTATTCTGCAATTTGCCCTTTTCACAGGAACTGTACACAGGGTTGACGTTTTCATTGGACTGTCCACCAGAATCTCAGATCTCTTGGTCAGCAGTCGCTAGCTCAGATCCCATCTGCGTATAGGCAAAGTTGGTAGTGGGAGGGGAGGTAGGGCTGTCCCATTGTGCATTGCTTTGCACTTGCTTTCAGGGAAGCAGCAAGAGTTCAGTGGCAGAGCACTTATTTTGTCTGCAGATGCCTGTTGACCTCCCCAGCTTTGAAGAGCAAGAACTTGTTGAGGTCTTAGAGAACCACTGCAAGGTGGGGTAGACAGGGCTGGGTTAGCTGGACCAATTCCCTGGATTAATATAAGGCAGTTCCACGTGAGATGTGATATCATGAGATGTTGAAAAGTTCCACACACATTTTGACATTTTAATTTCTGACCTTTCAGTTTATGAGTTTCTTGTGTCACTGCAAAATGAAGGAAAACAAGAGAGAGAGGTTATGGGAATGCCATTTGTTTAAATGGCATTTATACAGCTGCCCCAAAGCAAAGCTCCTTTTTGCCCAAAAGAATTAGGAAAAATGCTTCCAGCAAAGGATTAATCAGTGAATCATCCCATTTCAAATGGCTTATTCTGAGCAAGAGAGATCAACATGCTCAAAACTGATAGCTATATTGGAAATTATACACTACCTGATTTGCATATATTAGCTGTATATAATTAACATTCTTTGAAAAAATCAGCGAGCCAAATGTACAACAGTTGAGAAATCTATTGTGATGAATACCAGATTACCCTATTTGTTTGTTTATAGAATTTACATACTGCTTTTTAACATGATGTTTACAAAGCAGCTGCCCACGGCATAGTGGGAAGAATTATCCCTTGCTATGTTCTCCATTTAATTCACAGATTATTCCCTTGTTTTATAGTATACTCTTTCTATAGCACTGAGTTAATTTATTCGTAGAGCTAAAATTAGAAAGTGCAATTTTCTGTAATAGTTTTACCGATGTCTTACCAGTTGCTTTTATAGGCATGTCCTTCTTTGGTAGTTTGGCTGAAATGCAGACATAAAAAGACAGTTGGTTATTTGTCATATTGAACAGCTATTCTAGTATATGACTATTTCTGGATGAAGCAAAGCTTAGCAAAAGTGAGCATATTTACCAGTTTCCACTAGCTTTTCTTTCCTATGTGGTTCTACAAAGTAAGAAACAGACCAAGCAAGTTATTTATCTGGTTTGAGAATCCTAGTAAATATGAGAGCATATAAATACATAATACAGAATAAGGTGGCAGAGAGAGGCTGTAGGAATCTCAGCTATCCCAACAGAATTGCTTGGCTGCAACTGTTACTGCACATTAGTTTGCACATTCTTCTTCATCACATAGCCTTTAATTAATTGACTATGTTAGCAGCTCTGCTTGAATGACAGTCATAGGAACTAACTGAGATGAGCACAGCTCACCTCAGGCAGGCCCTTGTTGCCGAGGCGCACTCTACTGCATCCCAGGTCAAGCCACTCAGCCAAGGGAAGGGCTCCAGGAAAGCCTGGAAGTTCCCTATGGGCCATTCCTCCTTCAGCAGATGATGCTTGCAGGCCCCTCACGGGCTGAAAATGAGATGCAGTGTCTCATCCCCTGTCAAGGCAGTATGTTGGTAGGCCCTGTGATTCGCTAGTGGGGAGACACACAAAGAGACATTGTCCACTAGGCTCTCAGTCAAACAGTGCCAAGGAGGCAAGTGAAATGAAGCTTAACTCAAAGGGTCCCTATTGGGGTGTTGTTGTTGCTGTCTGAAAAGAGGGAGGGGTAGCTGGAAGGACTCTGGACTCCTTTCTGCTGCTAGCAGCAAGCAGAGAGGCAGTGGCAGTGAGGAGACGGAGCACAGGGCCATCCGCCTTTGGGGGATTGCTCAGGAGGCAAGCACAGAGTTGTCTGGCTCCCACTGGGGAAGGCCGTGGCTTGCATAAGGTTTCCTGTTAAGTCAAGGCAGAGGTCTGCTTTGGATCAAGAAGTTCCCAGCTCCCAGCTCAGCCTTAGCCATTATTTTCAATGGTTCTGAGCCATCCCCATATTGACATGCATAAATGGCACATCATGAAATCAGTCATTTCAGAGCAATCTTAAAATATGTTTTGGAACAGGCCTGTTCCCCAGTTGTCCAAAAAATAAGTTTTGTTTTAAGACGTTCAAGTAAAAATCTGACATATATTAGTTTTAGTAAATCCTTTCACACTGTTTGCTGAAATATGCTTCACATTTCTTCCCACAGCTTGCTTGCTCCCTCTACCTGATTATAGAGAAATCTCATTGTTCAAGAATTGTTTTCAGGATACTCAGTATTACTGTTGGGGAAACTTGAATCATGACATTGCAATAACTGATTATTATTGTAGCTGCTCCTCTTTAAACATACGCATGCTCCTAATGAACAACAGTGTAAGAGATTTAAAGGAAGTCTGAAGCAGAAAGTCCTCCCCCCCACCACCCAGAGGCACGCCCATAATAAACATAAATTTTGGGAAGGCAGAAATGCTATGGAATGCGCACAAAACTTTTGGCAACACAATCCAGATGGATCTGTACAGATCCATTGAATAGGTCTGCATGGGGTATTTCCACAGTACTGAAACAAGAACCTTTTTGCCTGTGCCTTGCTTTCTAGGGAAAAGCAGAGTTGGGAGAGGCACAGTGGCAGTATAAGGCCTCAGCTACCATCCTGAACACGCATAGTGGTGTTCACAGCCATCAGGAACTAATGTAATTCCCACTGTTTATGGGCACTGTCAAAATGACTGCCTGGTTCAATATCTGTGGAATCTGGAGACTGTGAGGGTTTGTTTCTTTAATTCCTGCAAAGAAATTGTAATAAAATATTGTTAATATGGTTGCTACTTCAACTCCAACTCTCACAGACAACATTCTTATTCCCTCTTCATTTATGAATTTCTTTCATTTTCTAGAAAGCCATAAAACATAAGTTTTTAACTATTTGACAGGACATAATTAATTTTTTTCTTATTTTAAAATGATGATGTACTTTTAAGCCAAGTTTAAATTTGTTGTTACATGCTATCCAGTCATCTCTGACGTATGGTTGCCCTATGGATGGATGGATGGATGGATGTCCTCCATAACGTCCTGTCCTTGACAGCCTTGCTCAGCTCTTGCAAGCTTAAGACTGTGGCTTCCTTTATGGAATCTTCTGTCTCACATTTCTTCTGCCTTCAACTTTCTCTAGCCTCATTGTCTTCTCTAGTAAGTCTTGCTTTCTCATGATGTGCCAGAAGCATGGAAGTTTCATTTTTGCTTCTAAGGAAAGTTCTGCCTTGATTTTGACCAGGACCCACTTGTTCCTCTTTCTGTTGGGCCAGGGTCTTTGCATAGCTTTCCTCTGGCATGTTTTGAATGCAGCATTTTTTCTCTGTCAGCTTTCTTCACTGTCCAGCTTTCACACTCATACCTAGTGATCTCAAATACAATAGTGTGGATGAGCTTGGTCTCGGTCTCCAATGAAGCATTCTTACACTTGATGCTCTTTTCTCCTCCCTTCACTGCAGTCCTTCCTGGTCTCAGTCTTCTAATACCTTAGCAGCATTCTCCCTTTGAATTGATGAACAAGTCAAAATGCAAAATCCTTAAAACACAATTTCAATTTCTTCATTACTAACATTAAAGTTGTGTGAATCTTCTGTGGTCAAGATTTTTTTCCTCAGCTGCAGTCCTACTTTTGTACTCTTTTCATTCACTTTCATCAGGAGTCATTTCAATTCATTGCTGCTTTCTGCCAGTAATATGGTGTCATCTGCATATTTTAAATTATTGATGTATCTTCTGCCAATTTTCACTCCCTCTTCCTCTGATCCTAATCCAGCTTTTCTTATATGCTCTGTATATAGATTGAACAGATGGGGGTGGGGTGAAATACAGCCTTGCCTAATGCCTTTGCCAATAGGAAATCATTCTGTTTCTTTCTATTCTGTCCTAGCAGTGGCTTGTTGTCCGTGATACAGCTTGGCATCAAGACAATGGGGTGCTAAGGCACACCCATTTCTTTCAGGACCATCCATGCCTTCTTGTGATCCACACAATCAAAGCCTTACTGTAGTCTATAAAGCATAGACTGAAATTCTTTGGTGCCATTCAATATCCAGTTGTGATATGATCTTGGGTGCCTTTTCAGAAATCAGCTTCAATGTCAGACCTTTCTCACTTTATATAAGGTAAAATTATTTGTTGCGATACCTTGAAAATCACTGTGCTTGCATGGGAAATTATAGTAATGGACTCTTTCCTTTCTATCTGAGAAAGTAATGATTTTCTGAGTCTTGAAACTCTACTAAATTCACCCCAATGTTTCATTCTTTCACATTTCCACAGTCATTTAAATATTCATATATATTCATCCTAGCCAATTATATCTCTTACAGAAGACAGTCCCTTAAGGTACAATAATTTGTGCTTGATATTTATAGGCAAACTGTCAAAATCAAGATACCTTCACATACCTGCTGCATGTATAACTCTTGCTGGCATCTTAGTAGCTTTTCAACTACAGGTTTTTCTAGATTAAATGGTTTATCAAGCTAAGGAGTGTGCAAAGTGTAGCCCTCCAGATGTTGTCATATTCCAGCTCCCATCAACATTAGCCAGCATGGGAGCTGTATTCCAACAATAGCTAGGGGAAAACATGTTCCCCAGTACTGATCTAGATGCATTTCATTCCAGCTTTAGGCCTAATTTTAGGACAAAGACTTTGATTGCTATTTCAGGAACTGCACAGGAGGTGTGCATATCTATTGCTTCTACTAGACCTTTTAGCTTTCAATGCCTTTGACCTTGTTACCCTTCTGGACTTGCTCACAGGGACAGAACATGAAGACATGGTGCCCTGTAAGGTTCTACCTTGTCCCCTAAGCTATTTAACATCTACATGAAAGTATTGGGGAGATCACTGAGGATCTGTCATTCAGTGTCAATATATGGATGACCTGAAGCTCTGTCTCTCCTTTCCTCCTCTTTAATATTATTTTAGGGAGCATTTGGAGGTCCTGAATTGCCTAAAGATGGTAAAGACTGGCTGTGGAAAAGCAATTGAAATTAAATTCAGACAAGACAGAAGTGATCTTGGTCACTTGGCCAGTGCAGCAGTCCTGTGGATTGGGTGTCAACCTGTGCTGGAAGGGTTAGCATTCCCCCTGAAAATACAGGTGTGTGGTTTGTGGATTCTTCTAGAAATGGCACAGATCTCAGTGGTGGCCAAATGAAACTGATGCAGCAGTACGTTGGTTCCTGCGGTTTGACACATGCCTGTGTTGTGTTGCATCTGTATTATTACATAGTGCTCTACTTAGGTCTCCCTTTGAAGGGTATTTAGAAACTACCATTAGTCCAGAATGCACCACCATGATGAGAAACAAGTACAACATGTGATGTACAAGGAACATGAATGCCTTGCTGAAACAACTCACAATTTGATTCCGGGAGCAATTTGAAGTGCTGATGGTGACCTTGAATAGTTTGGGAGCAGAATATTTGAAGGACTGGCAAGGATTCAGCTTTTGTGTGTGTGGTTGTTTTCTGGGTTCCCAGCTTTGGAGAGTGAAAGAAATTCCTTATGGTCATGACACAGGGCATTGCAGAACTATCCTCTGGCTCTTCTCCTATCGTTCCTGTAGCAAGTGGAGCACACATGTTGCTACAGAACAGGCAGTCTTCGGGAAACCATGATTCATCACCCCACAGAACCATTTACTATGGAGTTGTCAGAGAAACGGGTGCTGTGTCAGGAGTACAATTGCTCTGGGGAAGTGGGTGGATAACATGAATCATCCCTGCACACCATCTTCCCAACACAACTGAGGCTGAGTGGCAGTGATGAGGTGGATTTGGAGGCACTAGCTGCTGGTGGACCTACTATGTGCTACATGTGTTTTATAGGGTACCACAGCCCTGTCAGGTAAATTCAGTAAATAGCCCTGTCTGCATCACTCAGTACACACCGAGGGCAATTCCTGTATATGGGAGACTTTTCTTTTTGTGATTCTTCAGGGTTCCAAACTGCATGGAGAACCTCCACTAGAAGTGACTCTCCTACTCAAAAAGGTATCCTCCACACATAGAGGGTGACAGAAATGGCTACTGCATACCACCTGAGCTCAGGTTCCTAATGGCTTAACATGCACACAGGTCTCCACTGATGTGATCCTCCAAAGGAAACCAACCCCGGTAAGCGCTGTCCCCAGAAATTCCAAATGGCCAGGCAAGTAGGCACTCCTCATCGTCTCTTGGTGACCGCTTTCCTTTCTGGACTCAGCATGGTATGTGTTAGGAACTCCTAACACAAAATGCAAGCTAAGACACCATGCCTAGCTGATTTTATCTGATATATCAATCAAAAAGAACATGCACTCACCAAACCCCAGCAGATGGTGCTATGGTGCAATGAAACCAGAACAGATGCATGCAACCAAAAGGAACAATTAAGTAACACTGAAAATAAAGCAAAAGGAATGAATGTAGTAACTTACCTGGTGATACAACTTTTCCAGAAGATGGCTGGGCTGCAGGACCTTTTGCTAGCTCTTAAAATGAAAATAAATTAAAGCAATCACTACAAGGTATTTTATAGCAAACAGAAAGAAATCCTGGGAAACTGCAGATGAAAAATATTGCCCTTAACATCCTTCTTCTAGGGGAAGAGAAAATGAAGATTATTAAAAACAGAGTGCCTAGTGGTATTCTACTAAATCAGAGAGATGGGAAAAAGCAATGAGCAAAAACAGTGATTTGCAATCACTTGATAATTACTATCATTAATAAATGTGTGGTTTTTTAATTGTATCTCCCATCATTACATTGCACTAGTAAATTTTTTAAAAGCCAGGAGCACTTGCATAAACAGGTGTGTGAAAAATCTGTTCTGCAAAAAGTGCATGGAAGTGCATTTTGCAAAAGAAGAGAGAAGGCTTCAGTGTCTGAGTTCTCAACATCAGTTTTCTTTTTCAGGTGTCCTGCATCTCCTTTGGGAGGAGGGACCTTGCTGTTCCAGATCATCAACTGAGTCCATGTTTTTGCTCCTTCCAAGTGAGAGAAGGTCCTTCCATTTATTGTGCCCCTTTTCTAACTCATTCACAGAATTCTATGCAAGGTTTAGGCATAATTGTTTTCTGCTCATAACCTTCCCATGTTTTTCCACTTTCCCCTTGTTTTCTCTTACTGCAGCAAATCCACTAAGGGAAAAACCATCTAACCTGAATGGTTAATTCATTAGCATTAGGTGGCCTGCATCTGGAAGAAACCAGATTAGAAGGACCACCTCAATCTTTATGTGCCAAGTATATGCACAAACACCAGGACAACTAGATTCTCATGTGGATCAGAATTGCAGGTTTATACTAGAAGCATCTTTTAGTATAAACTGAGGTGTATTCCACATTTAGGGTCATTAGTATTCACAAGATTAAGGTTAGATTAGAACCTGTTTTTACACACTTATCTTAACTCTCACATGCCACATTGACAAAGTAATCACCAGGAGGCCAATGATAGTCCCTTTCTGCAATCCATAATGCAGGAGTTATGTGCTGCTGAGCACAGAAAATTTAAATCTTTCCCAGTGTGCACTGAGTTCCAGTACCTAAACTCTCAAATGAAATCAGCAACAAGCAAGGGCAATGCTGCATCTGCCTGACAGGTAACACCTATTAGCACGTTACAAAGCAATTTATTTTGCCTTGTAAATGTATCATTATTACCCATTTGCACTATTGAGATATTTCTCTACATTAATGCACCTACTTCCTAGCATTTCAGTGTTGCATTTTGAAGGACTGTGGGAGAAATACAGTTTTTCCCCATCCTGAGACCAGCATTACTGAAGCAATGAGCATTGTGGCAAATGCAGTTGTACTCACATTAGAGACACAGTGGAGTGTGATAGTAACATCATGGCAACATGAACTGAAGGATGTTTACTCGTTTTAGTTTTCTTCTTGTTCTTTTGCAGGCAATGCGTGAAGCTGTTCAGTGCTAGAATACAGATGGAGGACTACAGGCGCTGCCTTGCATGTTGCAAAGCTGGGAATATAGCACCCCTGTACAATATTATACTATAACAATATTCCACTCTTATATTATGTAACAGGGCCACACATTGCACATCCCTTATCTAGATAATCTAGTTCACCCAGATTTACACTGGATCAGCTGTGGAGATGGAAGTAGGTTTTCCCTATCCCTCCTTCCCATAGCAGCCTCGGCAACCTCCTGAAACTGCTGCAAAGTGACTCAGTTCAGAAGACCTTTCTAAACAGAATGGGCTTTGGTGTGTCTGTGGTGGAGAGTGGGATCCCTGAAGTTTGGATGGAGGCACCTTGTATGAGCAGAACCCTTCCTTTGGTGGAAAGCAGAACCTGAATCTGATCCATCATGCCTGGATCAATGAAGCATCCTACTGAAAAGCCTTAAAAAAATAGCTACTTGCCCGCTACAGAAGCCCTACTCAATGGAGACTGTAGAACACAGCCAAGATTGGTGGGTTGCTTCCTATATATTTGAGACATGTCTTCATTTATTCAAGGGTTTGACAGACTTGGAACATAGTTATACTGAAACCAGATGTATAAACCTTCTCAGTTCTTCTATCCAGTTTTGAACATGAGGAACACATCCAGCTAAGATCACAGCTGACATTTCAATCCCTATGAAATCTCTGCTTTTTCAAGTCATGCGATTACAAAAAAAAGAAAAAAGAAAAAGGGAGGAAATAACTGTCACTCATAAACAGGAATGCAGAATTGGAAGTAGTCTGCAACGTGATTTACAATGAAAGAGGCAGTTGAGAGCTATACACATCATTTCAAAACTATAGATTGTCACTGCTCCTTTATTTGCATCCCCTTCTTGTTACAGTACAGTCCTTTGCAAAGACTAATCAGGAGTAAGCCCCAGTGAGTTCAATGGGATCTAATCCAAGGTGTATGGGATTGTAGCCTTCATAAACATAATTAAAACTGGTTGCCTTAAAATAGGCCTAGAGGGAAAAAGTGTAAGAACATAACTAAAAATGAGCCTTACTTTTCAGGTCTTTGGTCAAAACTGCTTCTTTCTTTTCTGTAAAAGTAGTTTTTAAAAATACATGAATTAGCCTGCAGCTACATTATAATATATATTGTTATATATATTTAGAAATGATTCAATGATTTGAAAACCCCCAAAGAACAAATTTTAGACCCTCCAAACTTTGTTCTTCAGTACAACAAAATGTTGAATAGCAAGACAAGCAATAGGTTTTATCTCATTGCCACCAAGGCAAATGGACATACTTTTTCCCCTCAATGAGCTCCGAATTATACCTTTCTAGCACCAGATAATAAAATAATTAGAGGATTATAATTGATTAATTATAATTAATTAATTAATTATAATTAATTGTAATTAGAGGATCTGCAACTATGTACAAAACACCTTTCTTTTATGGGTTCCTGGATATCTGAGGGCCAGACTATAAATTCTGATCATGTTGGGATAGTGTTCCTGCTGTGATGTTGTTGTTGTTGGTTGTTTTTATGTAAGTGCGTGCAGCCTTGATTCATATCAGGGCCATAATGCACTGGGAGTGAAGGATGACTTCCCCACGTCATTCTCCCCCTTTGATTTCACACTACCAGATTCTTTGATTCCACTTGATACTTTTTCCTGTGTTAAATTTGCACAGTGCAATGGGCAAATGCCTAAACCCTCACCAGTTGAGCTGCCATAGTCCTGACCTAGGCTGGGGTAATGCACATTTGCACAAATTAAAGACAAGCCACCTAAAAATAAAAATTAAACAGGCTTAAAAATTGCAATGTGATGATTAGTATATGAAATATCTGGCCCTGAGATTACAGCAACAATGTGAATACGTTAGAGAATGTGACCTTCCAGTATATTTAAACCCTGACACCCTTTTAGAAATTTCTGTAGTGCCCCTACTAATATGTAGCTTTTAAAAAAATGAGGTCTGTTTCTTCAAAATTCCTTACTCTGATTTTCTGCTGTTTAGGACCCTCATACCCTTACTGTGAGATTCCTATTAAACACTCTTTCTTTGATCAAAAGCAATAAAGAGCCTAGAAATTTCAAGGGGAAATTCATTTATTCTTGGGTGTACATACAATGCACTCTGGACTAAAAATATTTCTGGGTTAATCTGCTGCCTCTATTAGCATGTTTTCCAGGAATCACTTCAAAGCATGCTAATTACCACATTGAGATGAAATTAATCACAAAGCAGCTTTCGGCCATGGGGGTCTGCTGAAGCATTCAAGAAACGCTTTATAGTTGCCAGATATGGAAATTTTAAAAGGTGTCACTTGTAGTTGATATGAATCATTTATCACAATAATCTGCTATTACTGGGAGCTATAAAACCTGAACACACCGGCAACATTATATACAACAGCAGATGTGAACTAGAATTAAATACCCAAGGCTCCCTTAAAAGAAATTCGGATGTGTTGGGATACACTTGGGGGAGTGGCATATTTTAGATAAAGAAACTCCTTTTTCAAATGCTTTACCACTGAGATTGATAGTATTATATTTTACAATTAGCTTATTCTTGCTACTGAACATTATGTTTTGAAAAAGTCAGATAAGGAATTGATCAAATACTGCATGGAGACCCAGAGGTATTCATGTAGAGGTTAAATGCAGCACATAAAGATCCCAAGAAAGGTTAGGAAAAGTCACACTCCTTTTTCCTCCCTCCCATCCATCCCCATGGAAGCCTCATCCACAGCCAGTTTTGGATACCTGTTCAGTTTATGATCACCTGGAGATACAGAGTGTTAAGGACTGAAAATGGAACTGGTTGTAGGTGCAATTGCCTGGCCTACAACTGCAAAGATATTCATAGTAAGGATCTTCCTTAAGTACATTATAACAAAACACCTCTGTAGATTGCATGTGTTGTTGTTTATCAGTGAGTTCAGCATGCAGCCTGCTCCCTTATTTCCTAGGACTTCTCCATATGAAGTGTTAACCCAGAGCATTGCTGATCATTCCTCCATTTTCATTGCAGGAAGAGGAGAAGGAAGTGTCTTTCTCTGACACTTTTATTTTTAGGGTTTTCCCTGATGCTGTTATTTTTAAATGTACATAGATGGATTTCTGTACATTTGCAGTGTTGTACTTTTGCAGATTTTCATGAAGCTTTTGTTCTAGTTTGAAATTTCATACTAGAGTTTCCTTGTGCTTAAAAAAACCCTGTGAAAAAGACTGGAAAACTTGGGAGAGGTCCTGGAGGACAATCATGTAATATCACCACACAAGACATTGGATAACTGATGTAAATGCACATTCAGAGAGGTCACCTAAACAAGTCTTGTGAAGGAAATTAAGCCGCCCCGAGGCTTCGGCGAATGGGGCGGCATAAAAAATGTTTTAATAAATAAATAAATAAATAAATAAATAAATAAATAAATAAATAAGGGGTTGAAGAGAAGTTGATGGGCTTTTGAAGAAAGGTGATCAACACCACTCAACATTGTTAAAGCTGTGAAACACAAGTAGAATGTTGTCCCAGTCTGAGAAACACACTCCTAAGCAGTGGAACAATCACAGGGTTCTTCCCACAGTTAGAAAAATGTGGGTGCTAATGTTATATTAGTTGTGCTTTGATCCGTTTTTTTCATACTAAATTGATTTTATGGGACATTCCTGATCAAAACCTTGCTAAAATAACTTAAATAACTAAAGTAGTTTTTACTCTGGATCCACTGATGTGTGTTATGAGTTTTAGTTATTTTCTGTTCAATGTACCAAATATGGCTTACAGATATTCCTCCAATAGCAGCATTTGTTCATATCTAGGTTTCGTCTGGCTGCTTTTTCAGAATCATTATTGGAATACTTACTATGGTTGGTCAGGCAGAGGGACACACTAATCCAATCCATGTCTATCAGTGCTTGTTCTTGGTGAATAAATGCACAATCTTGTGCAAGTTTAGACAGGAAAAAAGACCCACAGCATGGCTGTATGAAGCATGCTGAGAAGTGTTGCCTTTTTCTGTCTAAACTTGCATAGGCTTTTGCCTTAGACATGTTATACGGCGTTTTAGGCAGGAATGGAATAGGATTAATGGGATTGTTCCATTCTACTTAATCAGTGGATTTCTGCTTAGCATCTATACCTCCCACTGCATTTCCTTAAGTAAAACCTTTGTTTCATGTTTATTGGATGCCACAGTATCTCTTTAATAAGGGATTGTCTAATTCGGCTAATTGCTGACAGTGCCATGGAATGTTAAACTTATATTTCAGCAATGTTCAATAGCTTCTTTCTGAGAAGGTTATTATATGGATACGTTTTGTACTGGAACAGTCTTTAATATTCACTGAAGTATACACTCATATAAAATATTTACCTGCTTCATGGAAATTAATGAATGGCCAATGTAAAGAGATTGTCTGTCTCCTTTCGACAGCTAAAAGACTGATATTACAACACTGAAAGGAGAAACACTCATCTGCTAAAATGCCATGGCTTAACAATCTTAGTTTTTCAGTATTTGAACAGGTGTGTAAACATCACCTCTGAATCCATAGTTATTTAGGTATCCAGCCTGCTTTTGTTTGAACTTATGTACAGTTGCTAGAAAGTTGAATTTTCAGATATACGCCTTTCATATGTATTTATTTATTATATTATTTATATATCCCACCTTTTTTCCTTCTATGGAACTCAAGGCAGCTTGCATAATTCTCCTTCTTCTATGCTCATCTTTATCCTCATTTGTAATAACCCTATTTATATATGGATATATACAAATAAATGTAATTTTAAAAAAAAAAACCCTGATTTTAACCTTCAGTAGCAGATTTAATTCCATCCATAATCCTACTAAGAAATTATGGTATATTGAAAATTAAAGACTGAACTTTTTGTGAAGGGATCAGTCATAAATTTCAGTGTAGAAACAGCGGCAGCGATGTGGCAGTTCTGAAGAGATGCAAGTCACTCATTTTCCCAGTCGCTATCAGAACACTAACAAAATGTCAATCATTTTAACATGTGTGTTTGGAGAAATTACTACATAATATAAAGAGTTCTTCAAGTTCAGTTTGTCTCCTTGTAGATCAAGGCTGGCAGACAAACCATTTATTCTGCTGCTTAATTTTCCCCTGTATGAATAAACAGCATCCACTGGGATATAGGAATAAACCTGCTTCCTATCCTGGCTGACCTCAGCAAATGAAAATCAAGACTTCTTTTGGCATAGCCTATCCCTTCACCTGCATATTCATATCCTGGCTTTTGTTTCTCGGTCACATGAGAATATTACAATATGTTGGGAGCTGTTCTTCTATGGATGGAAATAGAGTTATGAATGCAGACTTTTCTTCTATGCACAGCCATGATAAAAGGTGAAATTCTGCCCCCCACCCCCCCGAAGGGGGAGAGAGAGAGGGAAAGCAATAAAGTGACAAAGCGACAAAGACAGACCAGCTTACCATCTTTCTTGTCAGGAAGAGAAGACCTTGCTTTTGCTGGTTCTGGAGGAGGGATACCACATGAATAAATACTCTTGTTTCTTTACTTTAACAAGCAACTATTTCAACAAACATGATCAACTGTGTGCTTATGTATGTGATACATATGGGTATTAGCAGCAGCTTCAGCATCTTTCCTTTACTTCGTTCCAGCACAAACAACTCCATTTTACCTCAGGCCTCCATCAACATGCCTTTGAAATACAGTAGCAGCAATACAGTAGCTACAAATGACATCTCAACTACACACAGGGTGATAAGAACTAAGCCCCTGTTGTGCCTTTCATGCAACTCCATCCCTAGGTGCTTTGTAGTCAAGCTACTACTGTGAGCAGAGATACAGTAATGTCTAGTGAATATTTCAGATCTTGAGCAGGAGTGAATTCCAGTTTTAACATGTAAACCAATTTCGTATGCTTTCCCTGCAAAACTCTTTGCAGGACATGTAGCTTTTAGACCATCTTCCCTTTCATCCTTCTCCCTGCACTTCTCCACGTACCATGTCTGATCTGGAGGGTGCCTTCAGCCTTGGGGCTGCACAAGGGGCTGTAGGGAAAGAGCAAAGCCCATCCCACAACCAGCAGTATCTGTTCTGCCAATGGTTGGATCTCATTGGATTCAGCCAAAGGATTTGCCAGGGTAACACAGTCTACTTGTGGGTCAGGCACCCCGAACCAGTAGGCCTGCCTTGCTCTGCCTTTAAGAAATGCATATCTTAATTATTTCTAACCAATACCAATATGAGCAAAGTTTGCTCATTTTAATATTTTTTCCTTCAAGGCTTTTATATGGTAGATTTGTTAAGAATCCTTCTGAAGGGAGAAAATTGCTCCTGTGTCATTTTCATGACACAGTGTTGAAACTGCTCACTTGTTATTGTCACAGTTTGCTATCACTAGTATCAGCATACTAATGGACCCATCATCTCTTCTTCCATGAGGCTGTTTTTAGGCTGGCTGTACGGATTCTCTTGTGTATTTTTCTTGAGGGACAAACCTCCCTACTACTGCCCAGGTGACACTTTCTTATAAACATTAATTTCCCAGACCTTTTGCCATTGCCAATTCTTAGTGTGCAACCTTTTATAATCGGTTTTAATTTACATCGCCATGACGTATTTCTGTTAATAGCCCATTGTCTGCAGTGCAGTTACTGCTGCTTCTGGGGCTACAAGAAGGTGGCAATGCACAACCTTGCTTTTTCTTACCTAGTTCCCCATGAGTGGAAAAGCTCCAGTGCTTGTCGCTTATGCACTGCAAGGACTGCCATGTGAGCAATCAACAGTTTCCCTTTGCTACTATGAAACAAACATATCGGAATTGTGTTCCCCTAATTTCCATTTGCTTTATTTTAATCTTTTGTTCCTTCCATCTGATGTTATTCGGTTCTCTTTCTGAGTTGAAATGGACTGCCTGGGCAATTAGGTCTATATGCAGCTCCATGCATTCCAGATACTCTTCTCTCCCCGGCTGTGCACACAGAATGGTCTTGCCCTGTGGAAGCCTCCATAAGATCTGATGGAGCTTCAGTTTAGGCAGCATTTATAGAACTGTCCTTATTTTTCAAAAGGGCAATATTGCTTTATAACTGGGATGATGGTAGACACAGACCCTACACACCTCTTGGAAGGATCACATATTTGTATAAAGGTTGTACCAAGTAATTAACAAGTTCGTATTGAAATGCTAGAAGTTAGGAGAGATTATATGGACCATTTCTCTGGAAGAACAAAAGAAGAATATCCTCCTCTTTTAACTCTAAAATCTCCCCTCAGACTTAGAGTAGACCCACTGAAAGCAATGGAATTAAGCCGCTCACAGTTTCGGTCCCATTGACGTCAACAGGTAAGTATGGCTAAATCTGGATCCAACCCCATGCTGGATACATAATGCACAATCTTATGTACCTCTTCTTGGAAATAGGTCCCATTCTGTTTGATGGAACTTAATTTCAAGCATGCACAGATCAGTGCATTTTTAGCAAGATTACTCAGAAGCACAACTGAGTTCAGTGGAACACACTCCCTAGTAAGGGTGGTGAGATTTGCAGGCTTAGCCTATTATGGACTTACTGTAGATAAATGACCGGTGAAATGGCCAAGGTCTTTCCGACTTTCTGCTTTCAATGTCTACAGACCAATCAGTGTTTCCACTTACTTGGATATATAAATCTAACCTAACTGTACTGACTTCAGTGCTTCCAAGAAACGAAATAAGCAGAAGGTTTCTAGATACAGTATGTCAGCCATATGTGTGAAATCATTTCCTGCACATCTGACACATTAATGGAGGCTTTTAAACCAATACATCATGCATGGATGGTACTTAATGTTCCATTTGCTGCCCCTAGCAAAGTGTTCAAATGTGTTAAAGTAAAAGCAGCAGCAGGTGGCATAAGTTCCCTGAAAAATAGCTTACCATCTGAGCATTTTAATCAATGAGAGGCAATTCTTAGTGCAGCTTAGTCTCCAATAGTGGATATGCCAGACTTCATGTACTAGTTGCTGAACAATCTGCTTTATTTTCACCCAATAATCTAAAAGCCAGATAGCTCTTTGACCAAAGACAAGAATGAATTAAAATTAAATCAAATCCATGACATTTCCAAAGCATTACCAGAATAGCAGAACTCAGTGTTCATAGCTGAGTGTCTTTCAGAAACCTTTTTAAATCTGAGATTTATTTGGGATTGCAGAGTGAGTGTGGGCAGGGGGAAGGTGTCAAGGATAACCAGCCTGTGGCTGGAACGCTGTGCAGTGTTGTTCTTGCTTTTTTGGACTGTGATGTTGTTTTATGGGATATTTTGCAGGCAATTTCAATCTATGAATATTTACCTGGAAACTTCAAAATGTTATAAGGAGGCTCGTTAGAAGAGGGAGCAGAATAAAATGGAAATATTCAGAAAAATATTGTTTCCGCCCAAATTTTTAAGAAGAAAGGAAGGACTGAAAGAAAGAAGACAACCATGACAACAGCAGTTGTCTTGCTTTCCTCCTAGTTTTTAAGCCTTTTTCCAGGCCTCCACATTTCTAGAGAGTACATTTTAGCAAACACATTTAAAACATCTACTTAGGGTTTTGTTGCACATCACAGACATCCCTTGAGTACCAAGTCTTCCCTATTCATATTGGCAGAAGATGTTACTTTCCATGCACATCTCTTTATGGACTGGAAGTTGCCCTTTAGCTAAAGTTAATGGCCAACTTCCCTTCTGCAAACATTCCAGGTGCGCATGTACATATCAAAATCTTGGGTACAGTATTTGTTTTCTTCTTGGCATGCTGAATAAATGTATGGAGCAATTATGGTGAAGAAATGAACCAAGCTACTGCTGTCCTGATAGTGTGTCCCAGAATACTGATACTAATCCATTGGCCTTTATCTACACATAAATCCATTAACCCATACATTTTTAACACACACAAAATGCTATGTAGGGAGGCTACTGCCGCAGAGGAGTTCCACTGAACCCTGATTCCCACCCATGCAAAGGTTCCCCAGGTATAAAACTGCTATCATTGATACATAACATGTAGGGGTAGTTTTGAATTTGCTGAATTGCAAGTTCTTTTATTGGGACTGCAGGTGGCACAGTGGTTTAAACCGCTGTGCTGCTGGGCTGGTAGATTGAAAGGTTGCCAGTTTGAATCTGCACAATGGGGTGAGTTCCCGTTGCTCTGTCCCAGCTCCTGCCAACCTTGCAGTTCGAAAGCATGCAAATGCAAGTAGATAAAAAGGTACCACTTCGGTGGGCAGGTAACAGCGTTCCGTGCACTTCGGTGTTTAGTCATGCCGGCCACATGACCACGGAGACTGTCTGGGGTCAAATGCTGGCTCCCTCGGCCAGGAAACGGAGATGAGCACCGCCCCTTAGAGTCAGGCATGACTGGACTTAATGTCAAGGGGAAACCTTTACCTTTTCCTTTCTAAGTCCTTTTATTATTTATGTATTTATTTTAAAAACTTCTTAACTGTCTTTTTTCCATAGAAATCTCTATTTGGTTTACAATAGTAAAAAAAGAAAAATTATTTACAGTATTTGATTAAAACACAATTAAATCAGATATATATTAAAATTAACAATTAAAATACTGGCTAAATAAATAAAGAATCTGGCACCAGAAAGAATAAAGAGTCTGTGCCAGATGAACCTCTCTGGGGAGCATATTCCACAGTTGAGGCACCACCACTGAGAAGGCCCTTCTCCTTGTAATGGCCCTCCTCGCTTCTTTCAAGGAGGGCTCTTGGAGAAGGAACTCCATTGAAGATCTTAAGGACCAAGCAAGTGTATATGGAAAGATGTGAACCTTTAGATAATCAAGCCCTAAACCATTTAGAGCATTGCATGTTATTGTCAACACCTTAAATCAGACCCAGACTTCAATTGGTAGCCAATGATCATATCTGCTGGTCCCTGTCAGTAGCCTGGTTGCTTCTGTACCAATTGAAGTATCCAGTTCATCTTAAAGGGTAGCCCCACATAAAGTGCATTGCAATCGTCCAAATGGGAGGTCTCGTCTCTAGTGCATGCGTCACTGTTGCCAGGCTCTGCCTATCCAGGTAAGGTTGCAACTGATGGACCAGCTTGAGCTGGTGGAAAGCAAAGGGTCCAGGATCGAGCACCTGAAATATACCAGACTGGAGCTTGCATAGTAAATCTTTCCCCCAACAACAACAGAGAAGTAGGAATCTTATACTTTTCTCGAAAGCATAAGTTCCCACCATAGAAATACTTATGCAACAATGCAAAGGCTTCTGGGACAAAAATATCTGATAAGAACAACAGTGAAACAGAGTTGACATTTCCCTTGCTGGCCATGACACACAGATCAAATGGTCTCCTATCATGTCAAGAAATTTCTTAACAGTGGAAAGCACGTGGAAGTGGGTGTGCTTTAATATTTTGACATGAACTGAATGTAAGACCTTGTCCTAGGTAACAAATCTAAATCATTAAAGCTAAGAGGGCTACATCAAAGGAGCATCTTTTCTGACACCTCTAAA